ATCATCAAACACCGGCAATCATGTTTCAACAATGAATGCACAACAACAACAATTAACACTTAATGCCGAACAAGAGATTCTAAACCCAAATGCAACAAGTACTTCTTCTTCAGGTCTACAATATTTGGATCAATTAAATCACAACAGCAACAACACAATGCTTTTTAATAATACAGACGCCGCAGCCGCTACTGGTGGTGCTGCCGCACAATTTTCTGAAAACGTTGATTTAATGGTGGAAAATGTTATGCCCGGTATATATTTGACAAAAAATTTCATATCATGGAAGAAGGAACAGTTACGGGCACATGGCTTCACCCATGTCATCATCATTGATAAACACATACAGGAGTTGTACTATCCCAATCAACAACCGGAAATTTTTAAACTTTGTCGCAATGACAGCTCGGCTGATAAGGGTCGTCATCATCATCACACAACAAGTGGCCTACATGATGATTATGAAGCCATCCCAGGAAGTGCTACGCTAAATTTTGGCAAAGATTTTGATGTTATTGATTTGAATTTTGGCGAAAAATCATATCTAACAACAGTGCTACCGAACTGTTATAGGGCTGTGAAATTTATTAACAAGGCGCTGCAATGTGGTGGCACAATCCTAGTAATCGACTGTAATGGTGGTGAACAGAAATGTCTAACCATCATTGTGGCCTATCTAATGTATAAACATAATATTAGTTTTAGGTGAGTTTTTGAAAAAATCCTTATTTGAAAAAAAAAATGATTTTTAAAAAAATTTTCCTTTTCAGTAATGCCTTTGCCCGCCTTAAAGAATTTTATAAAAAAGCCGATTTGGATCGCTTCTATACAAGTCAACTATATGAATATGAACCCATCCTGCAAGTACAACGTGCCCAATCCCGGGGCCACAGCTGTTCGCGGGAATTACATGCCGCCATACTGAAGCGCAAAAAGAATCATGAAGACGATGACAATGTGTTGGCGGCGGAACATCATCTGGAGCATGCAGCAGCAGCATATCCATTTGCCACAACAAATGCCCACACCCTATTGGATAATTGTAATCCCTTAAATCGTTTTGATAGCACTCAAATGGATATGAAATCCGAATCAGATGAGATGCCCCAAAGACCACCTGCTAAATCAACAAATCATCATAATTTTACACAATTTATGTCGAATACAACAACAACAAGAACAGTTGGTGGTTGGTATAATTGGGATGATTATGCCATGGAATAAATTTCCAAAAAAGAAAAAGAGAACAAATATTAAAGCTAAGTTCAAAAATGAATTGTTTAATTTTTTTGCAGATACCAAGTAAAAGCAAAAAGCACAGAGAAACGATTTAAAAACAATTGAATTAATAATTAAAATGCAGGTACTACAGATTAAAGAAATTATTAAAAAAAATAATTAAGAATTTTTTTACTTTAAAAAATATATATTAAGAAAAAAACATTTTTTTTAAATATATGTTTTTTATAAAAATATTTTTTTAATATCAATTTTTTTCAAGAAAAAGATATTTATAAAAAACATTTTTTAACAAAAATCTTTTTTTTGAGAAAAATATTTTTTTATTTTTTTCAAAAAAATATTTTTGTTAAAAAATGTTTTTTTAAAAAATTTTTCTTGAAACATTTTGTTATTAAAAAATATTTTATTTTTTTAATATTAAAGAAACATTTTTTTATAAATATTAAAAAATTTGTTTTAAAAAAAATGTTATTAATAAACAAAATTTTTTTGAGAAAAAATATTTTTAATGAAAATGTGTTTTTTAAAAAAAAATAATTTCTTTTGCTGTAGGCCCTGTATAAATAAAAAAAATCTAAATCAGAAATTGTAAATAATTTTTATTTTTATACAAGACAAAACAGTTTTTTGCTAAATATATTTTGCTATTCAACACAAACTGTTCCATATTAACGGAATGTGAAAGAACTTGGTTGATACTAAATGATTTTTACACAACAAATCCTATTGCAATAGTTGGCAACAAAAAGGGAACTCCTATTGAAAAACAAACAACAACAAAAATAAAATACTTTTAAACTTTAAAAATACGAAGGAACATTTCCATTAAAAAATTGAACTGAACTGAATTTTTTTTGACTTCGTTTTGGAAAACAAAAAATAATTTCATGGAAACTATTTGAATGTTAAACGTTCACTTTTCTTGAACACATGAATTAAATTAACGTTTTAAATTTAACGTTTTATTTTAGTTAATACTATTAATTATTAAGTGTTTCATTAGTTTGTAATCGAGACGGCATTAGTTTAAGATCGTTTTTTTTTTTCAAAATACTTATGCTGTAATTTTATTACTACAAATTATTTTTAATTTTTTCTTTTTTTACTTTTGTTTCTGAAAACACACACACATTTGATGTAAACCATATAGTTTATAATAATATCATTATTTGTTTAATTAGAAACAGTGTTCCATTTCTTTCATTGATCAATTACAATTTTCATCACTAGCGAACAATATATTGCCCATTTCATTTTTGCAGCATAATCTTAAGAGAGATTGATTTATTGTTTATGAAAAATAAAATCAGCAGCGAGAAATTGAAATTGTCAATAAAAAAATTATAATGCATCATTCGAATATATTTTACATACAACAGATATGTATTATGTATAAATAAATAAATGAATTTTTCTATATATGTTCTAAAAATTTTGTATTGTTTTTCATTGAAATTAATTTTGGAGGTGAGGTTATGTTAGATTGGCTTTAGAAAAACATTTGAAAACTATTTTTTTTTTTTGATTTTATAAAGAAAAATATATACCCAATTTGATACAGATATGTTCATGCTAAAATATTATAGCTACAGATTTATGTTGGTCGGTGACTAATAGTGTAATTTCATGTAGAATATTTCTTCTATTGACGTCACCCATCTAGAGTGTAGTATTATATGAAAAACATGACCATTTTGGAAATAATCAAATGTTTACCCAAAAATATAATTTTGGTTTGCTATAGCCAATTTGATATATTGATATATGATGTATATATGGATTTTTTGTTGTGAGATGACCTATAGTGAAATTTTATATATATATATATAATGTATTGTTGAAAATTTTGGTTCATTCTTAAAACCATACAAAATTGACCAAATATATTTGAATTTTGTATAACCTAATATGAATAGTGATTTTTTCATGATAAATATTATATCTACAGATTTATGTTGGTCGGTGACCCATAGTGGAATTTCATGTAGAATTTATCTTCTATTGACGTCACTCATCTAAAGTGTAGTATTATATGAAAAATATGTCCATTTTGGAAAAATCAATTTTTTGCCCTAAAATTTCTGTTTATTTTGGTTATACCCAACTTGATAATATATATTATATATACGGATATCTGTTATGAGGTGACCTATAGTGAAATTTTATGTAAAATTTTTCTTTCATTGACATAATCTACCTAGAATAATGTATTGTTGGAAATTTTGTCCCATTCTGAAAACCATATAAAACCGACCAAAATACTTGTACTTTGTATAACCTAACCTGAAAAGTGATTTTTTCATGATAAATATTACATATACAGATTCATGTTGTTCGGTGACCCATAGTGGAATTTCATGTAGAACACTTCCTCCATTGAAGTCACTCATTTAAAGTGTAGTATTATATGAAAAACATGTCCATTTTGGAAATAATCAAATTTTTACCCAAAAATACAACTTGGTTTGCCAATTTGTTAATTTATATTATATTGATATATATTATATATACGGATTTTTATTGTGTGGTGACCTATAGTGAAATGTTATCTTCCATTGACACATAAAATCAATTGTTAGTTAAATTTTATATAGTATATTTTTCCCATTGGCATCAGCCACCTAGAATAATGTATTGTTGTAAATTTTGGTCCATTCTTAAAATCATACCAAATTCACCAAAAATACTTGTATTTTGTATAACTTAATTTGTAGCGTGATTATTTCTTGATAACTATTATATCTACAGATTCATGTTGTTCGGTGACCCATAGTGGAATTTCATGTAGAATTTATCTTCCATTGAAGTCACTCATCTAAAGTGTAGTATTATATAAAAAATATGAACAATTTGGAAAAATCTAATTTTTACCCAAACACTTTTGTTTGTTTTTGTTATACCCAATTTGTTAATATATGTTATATTTATATATGCTATATATACGGATTTCTCTTGGGAGGTGATCTGTAGTGAAATTTTATGTAGAATATTTCTTCCATTGACATCATCTACCTAGAATAATTTATTTTTGTAGAGTTTGGTTCATTCCGAAAACAATACAAAAACCGGCCAAAATACTTGTATTTTGTATAACCTAATATGAATAGTGATTTTTCCAGTACAAATATTATATCTACAGATTTATGTCGGTGATCCATAGTGGGATTTTATGTAGAATTTATCTTCTATTGTAGTCACTCATCTAAATTGTAGTATTATATGAAAAACATGACCATTTTGGAAAAATCAATTTTTTGCCCTAAAATTTCTGTTTATTTTGGTTATACCCAATTTGTTAATATATATTATATTGGTATATGTTATATATACAGATTTCTGTTGTGAGGTGACCTATAGCGAAATTTTATGTAGAATATTTCTTCCATTGACATCATCCACCTAGAATAATGTATTGTTGGAAATTTCGTCCCATTCTGAAAACAATATAAAACCGACCAAAATACTTGTATTTTGTATAACCTAATATGAATAGTGATTTTTTCATGATAAATATTATATCTACAGATTTTTGTTGGTCGTTGACCCATAGTGTAATTTCATGTAGAATATTTTTTCTGTGGACGTCCTCCACCTAAAATTAAATATTATATGAAAAATTGGTACAATCAGGGAAAAACCATTTTTCCCAATAAATAAAAAAATAGTTTTTTTTTATTTATAAAACTTAAAATACATTTATTTTATTGTTTTTTTTTTAATAAAGAAAATTTGAGAATTCTTGTTTTTTTAGTAATACATTTTGCATAAATGAAGATGGATTAAAATATTTATTGAATCTTGGCTGGAATTTCAACACAAACAATATCTTCATTATTTTGATCTTTCAATTCCCATTTAACCATAACATTCACTTTGGGGTAGGCTTTCAAGACGGGCAGACTGGCGGTATATTCATAGGTTTCACCCTTATCCAAGGGGCATTTGAGACCGCTATCAACACAGGCATCAGGATTTTGCAGATGGAATGGCATTTCAACGCCCATCACCTTGCCATGGACAATGGTTTTAATTGCGGTAACATCCTCAGCTAAACAATGAAAAGAAAAAAATTATTAATTTTTATTATTTTTCTTCTTCTTCTTTTCAGATTCTCTCTCTCCTCCACTCACCCAATGAAAAGTCAATGGTAATGGACACCGTTGAATTGCGCTTCAATATACACTCATTTTTTGTTGTATCACAATCGGAGACAGTGACTTTTGTAAATTTGCCGGTTTTGGAGCCTATAAGAAAGAAGAAAAGAAAAACAAACGGAAAATATTAATTAAGCTTATTAACACGTTCATAGATATAAATCAAGAAGAAAAATCTACTAAAAGCGAACGGAAACAGTGCCAACAATTACTCACATCTTCATTGTTAAGAAGATTACGTGATCTATTTGCAAAAAATCATTAATTATTTAATTAATAGTAGTTCATTTTCTCACATGTACATACATACTGAAAATTTCGAAATTATATTAAGATAAATGCGAAATTATATTAAGATAAATTTGTTGAAATGTATTGTATTAGTATTTCCATTTATTTTGGAAAAACGAATTTTTCTTTTGAAATGTCTACCAAATTTGTTATCACTATTTTAATAATGTTATATTAAATTTAGAGGTTTCAGATAATCGGTGACCCATAGTAAAATTTAATGAAGAATATTTTTTTCATTGACAACTTTTTCTAAAATGAATAATTTGTGGAGATTTTGGTCCAAAATCTATAACAACTCAAATTTGTATAACCTAACTTTTTAAAAAATAATCACAAATAACATTTTAATGACATATATTTGATATATTGAGATTTTCCTTGGTCAGTGACCTATTGTGAAATTTTGTAAAGAATATATTTTCCATTGACAGCTATTGTCTAAAATCAAGAATTAAGGAAAAAATTGGTCATTTTGGGGAAAATGTACAAAAACGACCAACAAGATTGGATTCTTATATATCCCATTTTAAACAGATATTTTCATAATAAATATTATATTTACAGTTTTATGTTGTTCGGTGACCCATAGTGTAATTTCATGTAGAATATTTTTTCTATTGACGTCACTCATCTAAATTTTAGTATTATATGAAAAACATGTCCATTTTGGAAAAATCAATTATTTTGCCCAAAAATATACTTTTGTTTTGGTATAACCAATTTGTTACTATATATTATATTGATATATGTTATATATACGGATTTCTGTTGTGAGGTGACCTATAGTGACATTTTGTGGAGAATGTTTCTTCCATTGATATCACTCACTTAAAATCAAGAATTGTTGAAAATTTTGGTCCATTCTTAAAACCATATAAAATTGACCAAAAATACTTGTATTTTGTATAAGCTAATATGAATAGTGATTTTTTCATGATAAATATCACATCTACAGATTTATGTTGTTCGGTGACCCATAGTGGAATTTCATGTAGAATATTTCTTCTATTGAGGTCACTCATCTAAAGTGTAGTATTATATGAAAAACATGTCCATTCTGGAAAAATCAAATATTATACTTATGTGTTGATATAACTTATTTGTTGATATATATTATATTGATATGTCCGTATATATAGGATTTATGTTGTGTGGTGACCTATAGTGTAATTTTATGTAGAATATATCTTCCATTGACAGCATCGACCTAGAATAGTATTTTGATGTAAATTCTGGCCCATTCTCAATGAAGGTACTAAATCGACCAAAAATGCTTGTATTTTGTATAACCTAATTTATAGCGATATTCTCATGATAAATATTATATCTATAGATTTATGTTGGTCGGTGACCCACATTGGAATTTCATGTAGAATACTTCTTCCATTGATGTCACTCATCTAGAGCGTAGTATTATATGAAAAACGAGTTCATTTTGCAAAAATCAATTATTTTGCCCAAAAATATACTTTTTTTGGTATAACCAAAATTTGTTAATAAATATTATATTGATATGTGCTATATATATGGATTTCTATTGTGAGGTGACCTATAATGAAATTTCCTGTAGAACATTTTTTCCATTGACCTCATATATCTAAAATAAGGTTTTGTTCTAAATGTGGGTCCATTCTCAAATAATGTACTAAATCGGCCAAAAAATCATTGTATTTGTATATACCCAAATTTGAGATTTATATTTGTATGTTAAATATTATATTTACAGACTTTTGTTGTTCGGTGACCCATAGTGAAATTTCATGTAGATTTTTTCATCTATTGGCATCATCTATCTAAAACCAAGTATTATGTGAAAAAACAGGTCCATTTTTGATTAAGTATTTTTTTTTTTGCCAATGTAATACATTTAGTTTTTGGTATACCCAATTTATTATTAATATTATATAGTTAATTATTATATATAACGAGTTTTCTTGAAGGTAGACCTATAGTGAAATTTCCTGTAGAAGATTTCTTCCATTGTCACCATTCACCTATAATGAAGTGTTGTGATAAATTTTGATCAATTCTCAAAAATGTGTAAATAGAAGATTTGCATTTTTTAATACAACCTTAAATACTTTATAAAATTTCCATAGCTTTTCTTTTCACTAAATGTTTGTAGGAAAAAATAAACACACCTACAGACACACAATTGACCTCTTTTCAAATTGTTAATTCATTAATTTTATTTAAATAAAAAAACCTAGACTTAAGATTACATTCAATTAAATGACAATGAAATGTATCTTTAACGTATATTGGGGTGGTTCAAAAAAAAATAAATAATAATAATAAATAAATAAAATAAATATACATTAAATTATTTTTTGAGATCTTCTTAGAAGACAATAGATAATTTTTTTAAATAAATAGCAAGATGTGAATATTTTGTTTAGGTTAACTGGCCACACAAGTCGAAATACAATATTTTTACATATAGCCAGATGGTACATGTATTTTCTATTGATTGTAATTATTTTTCAATTTTTCCTTTTAAATTTTGAAGAGTTGGATCACTTTTTTAAGAACAAAATATTAATTTTGAAAACAAAATTATTTTAATAATTTAAATATTTAATTGACCAAAAATAATTATATTTTTATATACCAGAATTGATACTGATTTTTCATGATAAATATTATATTTACAGACTTCTGTTGGTCGGTGACCCATAGTGAAATTTCATGTAGAATATTCCTTCAATTGGCATCACATATCTAAAATCGAGTATTAAGTTAAAAATTGGCCTAATTTGATTTTATACCCAAAAATGATGATGATGTTCTTTTAAAAATTCAAAAAGTTTTACCAGTTTTGATCTTAAATTTCCTAATTTTTTTATTTTTTCTCTTACAGATCCACCAAAATTTCTATTCACTTTTTAATAAAAAAAAATCATTTATAATATTTACCACAATCGGTGAATTGTAAGGCCCTGCTGCTATCCAAGAATAATCCGGCAACTAGGAGAATGGTAATAATTCCAAATTGTTTCATTTCTTTTTTAATATTTTATTCTTTGTTTTTGTAGATAAATGCACACTTATTTCTGAGTAGTAGAATTACGTTATCGCGAACGTCTCAACACAACGAATGCTAATTTTTAAATGAAACGAAGTGAGTGAGGCTTGGAGGTTAGTCGTCAGTTGTAAAATCGTGATGAACAATGCAAAAAAATTCCGATATCGTTGTTTGTCAAAGCTAGAGAGAGAGAGAGAGCGAGAAATAATCTCTTGGTGTGTGTGTATGAGTTTATTTTTTAAACAAAATTAAATTAAATAAAGAATAAACAATATTCTACGTGTTTATGGACAATGGTCAGGAGATTTATGTTTATTTTTGGAGGCGAAGTCGAGTGGCATGCTGCTGTATTTGTCATCTGTATTAATTTGTTATTTATGTATGTATTCGTGTGCGTGTGGGTGTGTAAATGTTTGTGTCAACAATATGCATTTCCGTTTTGAGTGTGTTTTTTCTTTACTTTTTTCAATTCAATTAATAACACATTTACATGCCCATACATATATATACCTACCTACATTGCTATTAATAGTTTTATTCTTATTTTTTAATACCTTTTGTACGTCAGTCTATTGTTTGAATATTTTTATTCTTGTCTTCTGATTTTTTTTTTGTAATGCAATTGGTTTATCTTTCATTTTGTTGTTATTGTTATTTTTCTCACTTACTAATAAAAATACAACAACAACAATTACTACATATCAGTGACTCAAACAATGAATCGTATTCCACAATAAATATGCTATGTCGTCGGAATATATTCTTATCAAAAAAGGTTCTCAGTGACTTTCGATTGATAAGTAGTTGTCATTGTACGACAAACATTCTCCTTTTGTTTATTTTTTCTTTGTTTAGTTTAACTGACGATATGAAAAATAAAAAAACTATCTCATCAATGAAATTTGAAACCTCTGGCAATCGGATTTTTCGAAATCTTATCAACAAAAAAGAAAAACAAATAAATAAAAATGCAAAAGGCATTATCAAATAACAATAATAATCCAGCGATAATTAAAATCAACAGTCTTGCGATCATATCGATTTGAAATAAATAAATAAATAAACAAAAAATTCCTGTGCATTAAATTCCCCCACAATTCAAAATTAACAAAACAGTAATAGAAACACAATGTTTCTCATCTGGCAATGCTGTTTACATTGACAGTCAACGCATGCTATGTACCAATAGATGTCAGCTTTGTTTACAAAATAATTCACAATAAAATGAATAGAGTTGCCGCATTGACATGAATAATAAATAACATTAAGAGAGAATACTAATGCATGGTTTTCGTCCATGATGCAATAAAAAGGCGTTATATCAGAGCGAATTGGTATTAAAACAGCTGTTTTATTTTATAACGGAGACGATAACAAAATCTAAAGTGCATGTTTGTTTTAGGCTGGCAAGAACATGTAAACTTTAAAGGCTAGAAATTAAGGCGCGTCTAGACTACAGCTTTTATCCATTTCTACTTACATGATCGAAGTTGCAATGTAAAGGAAAGTCAGGGATATACTACATTCCCACCATTATGCGACGCATTTCGACGTTGGTTAAGCGGATCATCAGGCACTTTGGGCAATGTGTTTACAAACGTCGTTACTCGAACATTATTGCAAATTTATATCTACGAATTAATTTTATCCGTGTCAAGGCTCGGAAAAATGGCAGAAAAGGGATGTTCTGGTTCACACAAGATTTTTTGCAGAGCAGATTTTTTTTTTTGTAGTGTCTGACTTTTTTGAACGCTAAGACGCAAGTTATGCCTGTAATAAAGGTACTCTTCATTTCAAAAATCCAAATACAACTATGCTAAATTTGTACTTGAGCCTGTCAAATATGTACAACCAAGCATGCCAACAATATAAATGTTGTTGTTATTGTAAAATATTTTGTTTGTTTACTTTTTTAATTTATTCCAGAATAGAAAAATGAATTTATTTAGATAAGTTTAAGGGCCGGCCAAAGATTTGAAATTCAAAAAAAGTAGAGCAAATGGCCCTGATTTCATCGCTATATGTTTTTCTGTCGGAATCCGAGGTATCAGATATTAGCTTCCAAAGTTCCCTTGGCGCCAATATATTTCTTCGTTTGGAGGCGGTTGTGGAGATCCATCCATTGACGTAATCTGGATCTCATGGTACAACAAAGAAGGTAACCTTGCTCACAGCTGACTAAATTTTTTTTATTTTAACACCCCTCCATTGTCAAAATGATTTTGACATAACTTATGTATAAATATGTATGTATATGTGACAAATACATACATATATTTTTCAGTTACAAAAAAACATTTGTTTACAAATTGAAAACAATGTTTTTAAAATAATTTTGTTCAAAACAGTTTTCAAATAAGTGTGAAAGCTGCAAAAGGGAATTTTGTAACCAGGAGGACCACTGCCGAAATGTAAGCCTTTCAATAAGCATTAATCAGTTAATAATAACTTTAAATATTTTCAGATAGTATGAAATTATTGAAACAATGACGATTTTTATGGTACATATGCGGTTGATCCACACAATTAAATAAATGCTGAAAACATAAAAAATTCCTATGATAGTGAAATAAAATTAAAAACGCTGGTTTTTAGAAGTGCTCTGTATGTTGTATCAATGAAAAGATATTCTTATATAAAAGGGTTAGTGTTCTATCTGGAGGTATTCTTTTACACAGGTTCGGGTTTTCTTATAAGAGATCTGGTGGTCTTCTTATAGAGAAGATGCCTGATGGATGAGCTGGATGTCTTATAAAATAGCTGTAATTCTTCTTATAGTTCTGGAGGTCTTTTAAAAAAGCTGGAGGTTCTTTCAGAGTTAATATAGTTTAAACGGGATAAAGAAGATCTGGATGTATTTTTAAAGCTGGAAGTCGTATTTTTTTAATTTTATATACATATATATTTTTTTGGTATAACAATAGTTTGGTTCGAATTCACATGGCTTTGATCGAACATTGGGGCGGGTGTGAGGTTCACTTTTTGCCTTTCCAAAATGGATGCAAACAGTGCAAGCGGTGTGTTTGGCTTCAAAACCAGTTGATCGAAGGTGATAACCTCACCATCAGTCCCGAATTTTTTTCCGCAGTCTTAGAACAAATTTATTTTCACAGATTTAATGCAACTATCCTAAATAGGATATGCACAAAATTTGACATAGCTACAACCTTGCATTCGGGAGTACTTTCTTTCGGAAAACAGTACATTCTTTCGGAAAAATTAAAGTCCAATATCAAGAAAATCAAATGAAAATTAATTTTAAATTATTCTCTATATTCATTTTTATAAGAATCAAAAATAATTCTGATGGCAGAATTCGTACAATTTGAATTAAATAATTTGGACTGTATACACAAATTAGTACTGTACACAAATTTACCCCCTTCTCTAAATCGAAAAGCCCACAACTTTACCAAAATTTTGAATTTTTGTGATTTTTCTTTTGATATGTGTCGTCCATAATCAGGTCTTGACATATGAGATCCAAATAATATATACCTACTAACTGCATATTAAATATAAGCTCTAAAACAGTGCTGAATTCCTTCATATATAAGAAGTGATAATATTCTTATAGATAAAGCGAATGTCTTCTTGTTGATATGAAAATCTGGCAATACTGTTGAGATATCCTGAAGGTTGCATTTTCTGATATGCGAGAAATGCAACACTGTATTTTTATGTTCCTCTTTTACATCCTCTACTTCCTTCTTCTCGTTATAACCTCCGTGAAATAAAGATCTCTTCTGTCTAAGATAAATTGTATCTGGGTTTTATTTTCGCCATCACAACAGGTTATGGGCCCAGAGTCTGTGAGATCAATTTATCTTAGACTGCACATTGTTGAGAAGAAAGTTTGTTTAAAAAATAATGTCGGCTTCAACGAATTTCGTGATTGAAAAGTTGCTCGGGAGAGAAAACTACACAACGTGGGCCTTCGCTGTAAAAAATCTGCTACAGCATGAAGAATTGTGGGAAACCGTCCAAGGTAGTTACCCGGCAACTGGTTTAAATCCAAAAGTGGATATGAAGGCGAAAACAAAAATCATTTTGTTGGTGGACAAGGTGAACTATGTTCATATTGAGGATGCCGAGACATCAAAAGAGGTATGGGACAAGCTGAAGTCTGCCTTCCAAGATTCTGGACTTACGCGTAGAGTTGGGTTGTTGCGTCAGCTCATTACAACAAATTTTGCAACATGCGCAAGTGTTGAGGAGTACGTAAGTCAAATCGTATCTACGGCGCATAAGTTGAAAGAAGTTGACATGCCCGTGAGTGATGAATGGATAGGAACACTACTTTTAGCAGGGCTGCCTGAGGAGTACGCACCGATGATAATGGGTATCGAAAGTTCCGGTGTTAAAATTACTTGCGACTCCATCAAGACCAAACTACTTCAAGATGTTAAAAAGGCCAACGAGAGCGGTGATGCGGCGTTTTTTACAAGGAAGAAGAAGCAACAAAAGAAAAGAATGCGATGTTTTAATTGTAACCGCATTGGTCACATTGCAGCGGATTGTCACAGTAAAAAACAACCAGACAAAAAGGAGAGTGGTTTTTGCACAGTGTATGTGGCCAAAGCAACCAATGACAAAGAGTGGTTCATTGATTCTGGAGCGAGTTTGTACATGTGTATGCGGAAAGAGTGGTTCAGTGATATTCGGCAATCTACTGTGAAGGAAATTTTCGTGGCCAACAAAGAGAAACTGTCGGTTGAAGGTATTGGTGACATAAAGTTCAAACTCTTTGTGAATGGGAAAAAGATGGACATAACTTTTTACGACGTCCTTTATGTACCGAATCTGTCAGTGAACCTGCTATCAGTTAGCCAAATTATAAGCAGAGGTTATACAGTTCAGTTCCAGAATGACAAGTGTATGATAAAAAGAGGCAGAAAAGTGATAGCCACTGCCACACTTGAGAATAACATGTTTAAATTAGATGGAAACACTGAACAGAAGTGCATGGCAGCTATTACAGATCGTGTTATATGGCATTCTAGAATGGGTCATCTGAATTATGCAGACATGAACAAGACCAAGGAGCTTGTAAATGGAATTCAATTTAAAATGTCGCCCAATGAGAATTGTGTTTCATGTCTTAAAGGCAAAATGTCTCGGAAGCCATATAGACCATCAAATACCCGTACATCTGATATGCTTGAGCTCATACATTCGGACCTGTGTGGCCCGATGGAGGAATCGTCGATAAATGGAGCTAAGTATTTTTTGTGTTTTCTTGATGATTATACACGTAAAGTATTTGTATATTTTTTGAAGGCAAAAACGGAGGTAGCAGCATTGTTTGAGCAGTTTAAAGCCAGAGTGGAAAATGAAACTGGCAAACGAATTAAATGTTTACGTACGGACAACGGCACTGAATATTGCAACAAACAGCTCTCAGAATTATTAAAAAGATATGGCATACAACATCAAACCACCGTACCATACAGTCCACAGCAAAACGGCGTGGCTGAAAGAGCAAATCGCACAATAGTCGAAAAAGCGCGCTGTATGTTATTTCATTCTGGTTTGCCGAAGAAGTTTTGGGCCGAGGCTGTTGCAAATGCCGTTCATGTCATTAATCGCTCCGTTTCTGCCGCTATTGCAAAAAATATACCCCAAGAACTCTGGACCGGTAATAAAGTTGATTTGTCACATCTTCGAACATTTGGATGTCGAGCTATGGCGTATGTGCCGAAAGAAAAAAGACGAAAGTGGGATGCAAAATCCAAAGAATTAATCTTTACTGGCTACTGCGAAGAGACAAAAGGTTACCGTCTACTTGATCCCAATACTCTCATTCTCGTCAAAAGTCGTGATGTAATATTTTTAGAAAATGAATTCTGGCGAGATAAATTAAAGGCTGCGGAAGATAATTATTGTTTTTATAAAGAGAAACACTCAGCTGCTGTTGGTGATGGCACTGTTGATGATGGTACTGTTGGTGATGGCACTGTTGATGATGGTACTGTTGGTGATGGCACAATTAGTGATGGGACTTTTGGCGATGGCAACGTTGATGATGACGTATGGAATTACAGTGATGATTCACAAGATTTTGTCGAGTTTGATGAGACGATTACCAGTGATGATACAGATGTTCAACTGGTAAATCAACAAAATAGTGATGAAACTGTTAGACGTTCCTCACGAACACCAAAACCAATTAATATGAGTGATTATTATATGTATGCAGTGGAGGTTGGTGGTGTTGAAGATCCATTTACAATACATGATGCATTTAAAGACGTTGATGCCAAACAGTGGAAACAAGCAATGAAAAGTGAGTACCAGTCTTTAATGCAGAACAATACATGGACGTTAATGGACTTGCCGCAAGGAGTGAAGCCAATTAAAAATAAATGGGTGTTCAAAAGAAAGCGTGATGATTGTGGAAATGTGATCAAATTTAAAGCAAGATTGGTCATAAAGGGATGCTCTCAAAAGCCAGGGATTGATTTCCAGGAAATTTATTCGCCTGTGGTGCGCTACACATCTATACGCTACCTGTTGTCAATTGCAGCACAGTTTAACCTAGACATCGAACAAATGGATGCGGTTACAGCCTTTCTTCAAGGAGACTTAGATGAAGAAATATTTATGGAGCCACCGGAGGGTATTAAAGGCGATTTTAAAGGCAAGGTCTGCAAACTCAACAAGGCAATATATGGGCTTAAACAAGCAAGTCGCCAATGGAACAAAAAGTTAGACGCAGTTTTGAAAAGCTTGAATTTGCAGCAATCGGAGATGGACCCATGTATTTATTATAATATAAGTGGCACCAAAATATTTTTTATATCTGTATACGTCGATGACATATTGATTTTCTCCAATAATGATGAGTTTATGAAGGCAGTGAAGAAAGAGCTGCAGAGATCGTTGAGTATGAAAGATTTGGGTGTAGCAAAGAATTGTGTTGGTTTACATATAACCAGAAATAGAGAGAAAGGTGAAATATATGTTGACCAGACCATGCATGCCAATGAGTTTTTACGTCGTTTTAACATGGAAGAGTGCAAGCCTATTTCCACACCGTTTGATGTAAATGTAAAATTGAAGAAACCGGAGGCTGGATCAAGAAATCCAGACAATTTACCTTACCAAGAGGCCATAGGATGTTTACTCTACTTGGTGCAAGGATCTCGACCTGACCTGGCATATTCCGTCAACTATTTGAGTAAATTTAATGATTCCTTTGATAAAACACACTGGTCAGCCGTGAAAAGAGTTTTCAGATATTTGAAAGGGACCAAAAATGCTACATTGGTTTATAAGAAAAATGATAATGGTCTTCAGATAAGCGGTTTTTGTGACGCTGATTATGCAGGGGATATATCAGATAGACGATCATGCACTGGATTTGTTTTTATGCAGCAAGGTCCAATTAGTTGGAATAGTAAGAGGCAAGCCACAGTGGCCTTATCAACTACAGAAGCTGAGTACATGGCGATGTCTGCAGCAGTGCAAGAAGCAGAATGGCTTCGGCAGTTGCAAAAACAATTTTTTGGTCATCTTTGTAAAGATACGGTGCTGTTGCACTGCGACAATAAAAGTGCTATAAATTTAGCAAATACAGAAGCTTATCATGGGCGCACTAAACATATAGACGTGCGTCATCATTTTATACGAGACAAGATCGATGATGGATACATTGTTCTTCAATACGAAACGTCAGAAAATATGGTTGCAGATTTCTTAACGAAGCCTCTAACAAAGGACAAGCATGTGAGGTGTGCCAATATGTTGGGTCTATTTTTAGTATAGCCAGCTTTTAGTGGAGGTGTTGATATGAAAATCTGGCAATACTGTTGAGATATCCTGAAGGTTGCATTTTCTGATATGCGAGAAATGCAACACTGTATTTTTATGTTCCTCTTTTACATCCTCTACTTCCTTCTTCTCGTTATAACCTCCGTGAAATAAAGATCTCTTCTGTCTAAGATAAATTGTATCTGGGTTTTATTTTCGCCATCACAACACTTCTAATGAAATATCTGAAGGTCTCCTTATTTGAAAATTCTTATATCGGTTTCCCTCTCTGTTCCCAACGCTTTTTCGCTAATCGGCTTAATAGTTGATGTACTTCATTGAATATTTCTCTTGTCTTTTTCAAACGAACGAAATGAAACACAAACTAATTTTTTTTAAATGACATTCAATAACAACAACAACAACATTCATGTTGTATTTCACCTGCTCAGGTACAAAAAGCACACTGTTGTATTCAAATTTTCGAAATGAGACTACCTTTATTATTTTGCCATGATTTAGAGGTAACTCATACAAAAACGCATACTCGTTGAAAATAGCAAATTATCGTTGCATTAGGAAATTGAAGTAAATTGTAAACCAAAGGGCAACGAACCTCTTTTGCGATTTCTTTGATTTGATAATATATAATTTTTAACGCGTAATTTATGTCATGTCAATTAATAGCCGTTAAAGCCGTTCAGAAAAACATTACACTCGCAAACTATATTTTTTCCATCGTCTGCAGATTTGAGAATATAGCAAAGATAAATGTCAAACATTTCAAAAAATGCAGTTGTATTTTTTGTGGTTCCCTTTAAATTAATAGAAATTAATGTGTGGCCAGAACGCATTAAAAATATCTTCACCAAGACATCATTGTCAATGTGTTGGCAATGCCAGCACAACACAGCTCACATACCAAAACAAAGCTGTACAGCTTGTCAAAATCCGTACACGAAAATAAACAAACATTTTTGACAACTGTGTCTTCGTATTAAAAAAACATAAACATGTTGCCAGATTACGAAACGAAAAAAAATATATTTTATTTATATTTTTAATAAAAAAATTAATACAGATATAAATTAATATTATTGACATTAATTTGTAATTGTTTATTTGATTTTAATTTATTTTTTTTCTAGTAATTAATTATTTAATAAAATTCATACACCTTGTCCATTTTTTGCTTGTCAATTATTTCCCCCCTTTTGATGCAATGTCAATTTGTTAAAGCTGGCAACACTGTTGCCACGTCGTTTCTGCTGTCAAACATTTGTCGTGTCTTCGTTAATACAACAAATTGGCTTTCGCCTTCATTCATTCGTGTTACTTCTTGCTGCAACGAAACTAGGTGCGTGTTTGTGCATTTCCATTAGAAAGAAGAATTCTTTTTTTTATTAAATTAAACAAATAATTGTTGCTTTTTAAAGACAAGTGAAGAGTTATTATTTTCAAATAATAAACAAGTTGTTTACAAAAGCCAACAAATCCACGTAAATAGGCTTATAATTCTTTCTTGTTGCTGTTGTGTGTATTGTGAAGGAGGAGTAGGAGAAGGGGAAGGTGGTGAAAAGTGTGAAGAAATTACAAGTGAAATTTCAATTGAATAACTTTAATTATTGTATTTATGAATTAAGATACTTATTAAAAATGTTATTTGTTTAATTAGAATGCAAGCAATTACGGAAAATCTTTTATGAGCGAATTTTCATTGAAATGAAAATATTGTGTGAGCGTGACGTATGCCACGAAGACAAATCTCCACCGCGCCACCATCATCGTCATCTAATCATCACAACAAGTGATTATTGTACACATTTTACAACTGCTTTCCCCCCAGCTCAATGGAAATTAAATGAATTTTCTATTTCTTTCTATAATTTTCATGTAGGTCTTACTAATCGTTTTCTTTCTCTTTTACAGCTAAACAAACCTCCTAACTAACCCGCCATGGATAAAGTTGTGAAATTCTGTGAACCTGGCCGTGTCTTCGCCAAGGACTCCATCCGTTTGGTCAAACGTTGCACCAAACCCGATCGCAAAGAGTTCCAAAAGATTGCCATTGCCACCGCCATTGGTTTCTGCATTATGGGCTTCATTGGTTTCTTCGTTAAACTGATTCACATTCCCATCAACAACATCATTGTCGGTTCATAAGTCCCCAGCACATAGAAATGGATTTATGTTTTCTTTATTTAAAAAAATAACAACATACAACTTTCCAAGGCTGCATCAGCTTTTTGTTTTGTATCCCAAACAACATCAACAACAAAAATGCTAAATCCGTTTCATAAATGTCTCTTTTTTATGTTATAAGATTTTTATTTTTACTACTATTAAACATCCTTTAAAATACAACAAATATCTTCCGGGTTATTTTTTTTCGATAAAAGATTTAACATAGATCGTTCATAACTTTTTTTTTAATTAGTTAATACTATATTTTTTCGTAGTCTTAAGAAGTAGAGAGATTTATATGAATTTTTCATATCGAGAAAATATATACCAGGAAGTTTAATGACATTTCCCTATATTGTGAGAATTTTGTATTTTCTTCCACCATTTTTTTCCATTTTCTTTTAAGAAACTTTATTTTCATCCATTCAAGAAACAAAAAACAACAACAAACAACTCTTGTGTTTAATTTATAATTTTGTAAAAGATAATAAAATTCAAACAAAAAAATTTAAAAAATAATTATGTGACTTATTTATGGAGGAATGATGTGGAGATGGAGGGAAGATAAGTGTTGTGATAATGAAATTAGAATATAAAAACAAATTGATATGGATACCTCGGAAATTGTACCTCTGCTGATACTTTAGGAGAATGTAAAAGAATCTCTATCGGATTTATAAGAAAAAAAAAACGTAAATGCTTTTAATAAGTTATCCCAATACATCCATATTTGTGATTTAATGTAGTTTTGGTAAGCAATTAATTGATAAAATCCGATCGCTTCATATGAGGGACCGATTAATCCCACCTTCGACTTGATAAAAATATGGTACTATTTTTATGTACAGATTAAATCAAATCGGATATGCCATTTAAAAAATTCAAAAATGTTGACAAAAATATTTGGGACGTACCAGAAGTAGTGGACCGATAGATTCCATTTTCGGACATGGTAAAAATATTTGAATCAAAACGGATACTTCATTCGTATGATTTCGGACTTGAAATTTCTTAAAAAATTTAAAACTTTTTATTAAAAGAGTGGACCGAAAATTCCGTTTTTCAAACATTTAAAATATTAGATTAACCAAAATTTAATTCAGTTAAGAAACTCCGTTCGCATGATTTTAATAAAATTCATTTTCAGCAAAATTTTGATCATTTTGTTTTCGAGGCATCAGTTGAAGTGGACCGATTTTCACATTCCAATTTTCAACTTGATTTTAGTTTTCAGAGGTTAGATGAAAACAATTCCTCTCTTCGAGAGTTATTATGCGCCCCCAGATAGCAAGAAATACAGACAGACGAAATTTTGTAAATCGATTCCAAATTGTTAAGACCAAATCTGAAGATCTGAACCGACGAAAAAAAATTATTTCCTTCTATAGTTATCATGCGCAGCAGCTTGCAAGAGATATAGACAGACGAACAAAAATTTGTAAATCGACTCCAAATTGTCTTAAAAAAACTTCGATTTCGATGTGGCCCTTTTTGTCATAGCAAAATGTATAGAAATAAGGTCCAATCTGAAGATCTGAACCGATTTCGAAACGTGGCACACATCATTTTGAAGTCAATACGCTATGCCCAACATCGTGTAAATCGAAAGAAATATAGGGGCTTTGTTGCAACATTTATATAAAATCGAAAATATATATGGGACCTATATCTAAATCTGAAGCAATTTATACAAAACTTAACACACGTTATTCTAGACTCAATTCAATATGATATGGAAAATTTCGTCGCAATCGGCCAAACCTTCGAAGTTTGGTGCCCAACTTACATAAAATCTGCCAAACCTATATATGGGAGCTATATCGAAATCTTAACCGATTTCAACAAAAGTCAATCTGTACTTAATTCAGAACACTGGACATTTTTGTCGCATTCGAATCGTTCTTCGTCCAAATAAGTGAGCTGTGTCAAATTTCATCTTATTCGGATCATAAATGTTTACAATTTATAATAGAAAGACGGACGGACATGCATAAATCGATTTTTTTCGAGTAATACGGGTTTTAAACCTTGTTTTATATATATGGCATAATAATTTAAAGAGCGAAATTTTTAAAATAATAATTTTTTTTTATCAAATCATTGATTTTTAAAAATATTTTTTTTTTCGAGTCGAGGTTTTGATCTTTTTTTAGCAAAAAAAAAATCAATATAGTGAATGCATATTTTCGCGAATCATCGGTCTTTATAATAAAGATTATTTTAAACTATTTTTTATAATATTTCATTAATGGAGTGGATTTTTTCCCGAATCGTCAATCTTTTTAAAAGTATTTTTTTAATATCTTTTATAATATTTCATTTAAACAGCGAAATTTTAAAATATTTCTTTTTTTAAATCGTTGTTTTTTTTTTTTTGAATTGAATTTGTTACCGAATCGTTGTCGGTCTTTTATTACAATATTTTTTTTACGATTTCTCATAATAAAAATTTAAATAAATTTTCAAAAATATTTGAATTTCCTATACATTCTTAAATTTCCATTTTTAATTATTTTCTTAATGTTTTGTTTAAAAAAAAAGTCTAAATGAAAAGACAAATGATGGAATTTTATTATTACAAAATAAATATGTGCCTAAAAGTATGCAATTAAATTAATGAAAATGAATGATTCTTTACTATAAACGAATCAATAAAAATGAGAAAGAAAAAGTTTAAAATTTAATTGTCCTCCTAAAAATATGCAATAAAATCGACTTTTATAGAGGGACTAGCTCATATAAATTTAAAAACCCACTTTTATAGAGGAACTAATCTATAACAAATATCAATTTAAAAATCCTCATTTATAGAAGAACTATACTATAAAAATATCAATTTTAAAATCCTCATTTACAGAAGAACTATACTATAAAAAATATCAATTCAAAAATTCGCTTTCAAAGAGGGACTAGGGTATAAAAATATCAATTTAAAAATCTACATTTATAGAGGGACTAGCCTATAAAAATATCAATTTAAAATCCCCGTTTTGTAGAGGGACGATAATATAAAAAAATATCAATTTATATAAGTTTTTTAGATGTAAGAGTCTGCTTAGACATGTTTTTATATTTTTATATTGTTAATACTATTTATTGGCCTTTAAGGCTTTGGTATTATTTAATGGAAATAAATAAATAAAAAAATAAAATAAAATCCACTTATATGGATGGACAATTCCTTAAAAAATATCAATTAAAAAATCCCCGTTTTATAGAGGGACTATTCTATAAAAAATATCAATTTAAAAATCCACTTTTATAGAGGGACTAGCCTATAAAAATATCAATTGAAAAATCCACTTGTATACAGGGATTAGTCTATAAAAAATATCAATTTAGAGGGAATATACTATCAAAAATATCAATTTTAAAATTGAATTTTAAAGAGGAACTGTACTATAAAAATATCAATTTAAAAATCCACTTTTATAGAGGAACAATTCTATAAAAAATATCAATTTAAAAATCAACGTTTATAGAGGACTAGACCATAAAAAGGTAAATTTAAATCCCCATTTTGTAGAGGGACGATACTATAAAAAATATCAATTTAAAAATATACTTTTATAGAGGGACTAACCTATAAAAAATAAAAAATACACTTTTATAGAGGAACTATGCTATAAAAATATCAATTTAAAAATCCACGTTTATAGAGGGACTAGCCTATAAAAATACTAGCACTATTCTAAAACAATTTACAAAAGTATATTTGTAAATGATGTTGTCATAATAATAAAAATATTAAATAAAATAAAACATACAATTAAAAATATATTCTCGTTTATTATAATTTGTTTTCTTTTTTGTTTAATACTTAATAATTAAAACACATAAAAATTAAAAATATATATATTATATATGAGTAAATTCATAATAAACATTATTAGGTTCTCTTTCGATTTGCAATTTTTTTGTTTTGTTTTGATGGTGATGTTTTCGTTTATTTTTTTATTTTGTTTTTGCAACTAAAACTTAATCTATGGTATACATTTTGTTTGTTTGTTTTGTATGTGCATATACTAGTATAAATAATTATATGTCGCGTATGTGTAGGTATGTATGTTTGTAAATAAAATAATAAAAAAATAGTATGTTGTGTATGTGCTAGATTTCATGATTGGCCAAAAAAAGAGCACCAGCTCTTTTTTATATCTATTTTTATGTTATTTTGTAGTTATGATCTCATTAATGTGTAATTAAAAAATAAAATGATTTCAAATCACATTTTTAGTTATTTCACTGCTCCTTCTCCTCTCCCTTTCCCCTCCTCTTCCCCTTTTTTATTTGTTTACAATTCCTCAAAGAAGGCCACACGTGCTTTGGTCGAACCAGATTTTAATTTTTTCAATGTTGAATATTTTGTTTCGCCCGCCTTGAGTTGGGCCTCACTGAGTATATCCAAATTCGTTTGATTTTCCTCAATTTTCAGCAGCTCAATTTCGGAGCGCAGTGTTTGCAATTGATTTTGCACCTGTTTGTGTTTCTTTAGATACTCTAAACGGCTGCGTTCAATTTCATTGGTGATCTGTTCCATTTCGCTGTCGGTTAAAATGAATTCTTTGGTTTCAAATTCATTTTCCGAATCCTCATCGCGAGGTTCATCCAGCTGGCGCTGTTGCTCATGCAAATGATGGTGATGTTGATGATCCTCATCATTTAGATCATTGGTTGTTAAATCAACGGCAGCGGTGGAAGATTCATTAATGTCCGCCGTTGAACTGCTATTCGTCAGCGAGGGTGTACTAACGGAGGCGGTAATATTATTGGAAGAACTTGATGACGAGTTAACGGTAATTGTCGGCGGCAGCATACTATCTTGGGAATTTTTACGTCCCCGATTTAAAAAGTTCAGCAAACGGGCTGTTGCCTCCCGTTCGGCTAATTTGGCACATATCAATTCTTTGCGTAATTTTTCCGCCTCAGCTTCCCGTTTATCCTTTTCCATTGTTAGCTGATGAACGAAAAAATCCGCTTCCCTTATTTTCTTTTCCAAATCCATTTTTTCCCTTTCGATTTTCATTTGTCGTTCGCGCAGCCGATCCATTTCACTTTTAAAATGATTCGCTTTACATTCGGTCAACTGCATTTGTTCTTCGTTGACGCGACTCTTTTCGAAATACAGCTCTTTAGTTTCTTCGGAACGTCGTAGAGCATCGCTGGCGCAACGCATTTCCTCTTGCAGCCGCTCCAACTGGGCCTCTAACATATAGCGTTCCTGTTCGGCACGTTCACGCAGTTTCTTTTCGCGTAGGAATTTTTTTCGTTCCATTTGCCGGCGTTGTTTTTCCTCCTTTGCTTGGGCTTTCATTTGTTGTATTTCCATGGTGTCGGGTTTGCGACGTCGCATATATAGGTCGTGATTGCCTTTGCAGAGGTCTAGAATCTGCAAAAAATAAAATAATGAGAGGAAATTTATTTTAAAATCCTTAAAAATCATTCAATTAGAAATTCACTTTTATAGAGGGACAAGCCTACAAAAAAAAAAAAATAATTAAAAAATCCCCATTTATAGAGGGACTAACTAACCTATAAAAAATATCAATTTAAAAATCCACGTTAATAGAGGGACTAACCTCTAAAAAATATCAATTTAAAAATCGTCTTTTATAGAGGGACGATACTGCAAAAAATTGCAATTTAAAAATCGTCTTTTATAGAGGGATAATACTGCAAAAAATTGCAATTTAAAAATCTATTTTTTAGATGGGTTATACTATAAAAAATATCAATTTAAAAATACGATGCGATTGAATCGGTTGGGATTTTCCCTTTTTGCCAATCAACACCAAGTTTCTTTTTTTTTGCTATTTCCTTTCCTACTATTTTTCGCTGAAATCATTGACCTAGCTTTATTTTATGAGCATTGATTTGGTGCAGTGTCATTTGGTGTGTATGCGCGTGAAACTAACAAAAAGTTAATAAGTCAATTAAACGCTGATGACCTTGAAATGAGATAGTGATAAAGCATAAAAAGTAGTTCACATTATTTGAAACTAGAAAAAAAAAACAAAGAAGTTTTAAATATAAAATTTTAAACACGTTTTGTATTGAAATGAAAAACCTAATAAACACTTTTAAATAAATTGCTTGGTCCCTTCTCCTAAAGAATTATGGGGATTCATATGTAATTTCTACCTTTATGTGTATCTCTTTCTTACCATTTTATTAATATGCAAATCCTGTGAATAAAATATGAAACTGGAAACCTTGGCATCCACCAAACGTATGGTAAATTTTTTATCATCAAAACTAACATGGCGAATTTCATTCCATTGAAATGTTGTTTTCGGTGTTAATTTATTGTGATAATCGTAGATATTTAAACCCACTGCTGTTACACCCAGCCACAGCTTGGTTTTGTTCTTATTCTGCAAGAAAAAAAAAATAAATTTAAAAATCTAAAAAAAAATAAAATAAAACCACCTTACCGTAATAGGAAAATAATTAACACCATACATATCTAGATCTTGTGCTATTTTTAAATATTCCATTTCAACTTCATCGCGTGTCATTGGTTCATGGTCCATATACCTTTTTAGACGAAAAAAAAAAATATTTTATAAAAATTTGTTTTCCAATCACTCATTATTACCCACCATGTCTTAATGCGTTCCTCCCACATTTTTGGTGTCATTTGATATTGATCGGTGACCCCCTTTGGCAACAAATCCATACCCTGCAATTTACCATCCTGATATGTTTCAGCATCATATGGCCCGTATTGTACATGCACAGCATAGGAGGCCAACAGAACCGAGGCCTCGGGACGACAATAAATATCCATTGATAAAATACTTTGTTTAACTTGCAGGAAAAATAAATGCTGTGTGATCTCCTGTATCAGCTCTTCGCTAACATTTTCCGGAAAATATTTTGCATAGAAACTGAAAACATAAAAACCATTTGGTTGCTGTTTGATACGTTGATCTTTAACCTTCTTTTCCATTTTCAGCCAGGTGACATTATCCCGGGTATCGACATACTGCAAACCGAAATACCAATATTCTCTCAGACCAATTGTTCGACACACCAGATCAAAAAGATCCTGGCCACTGGCATTTTTCTCCAATTCAAATTCCAATTCCGAGTCGAATGTTATCACCTTGACGGGGAAGACTTTTTTGCTGCGAAACGCCCGCATTCTTCTTTTAATTAGACTTTCCTTCCTTCGTTTTTGTTATTTTCTTGTCTGTCTTTCTGTCTGTTGGTTTTGTGTTGTTGTTGCTTCAATTCATGTCGAAGTTCAATTATATGTTGGTGTTGTTGCCGTTGTTGATCGATACAAAAAATAATCCCATAACATAAATTGTGAACACTACACTAGCCCCCCTATTTCGATCCCTTTTTCGTTTGAACTAAAGGCACTTAAATTTGTAATTGCGTAACATTTATGGGAAATTAGCCGATCTATATCGTTTTTTGTTTAATATTTCTATTTTGTTTTGTAAAAGCAATTGCAAAAAATCAAAAATAAAAACAAAAACAAAACAAACAGAAAAATATTACATGGGGCTTTAAACGAACTGAAGACTAAAAATAAAATACTAATTAGAGCAACAACAAACGAACGAACTACTCCATGGGAGGTATTCTGTGAAAGGAACTATTGGAACTAGTTTTAACTAGTTCATTTTATTTGTCTTACTTGTCGTTGATTCTCGTCAGCATTCTGTAAATGTTGCCACATTGTCTGCTACGCATTGTCAATGATGGAAAAATGCAACGCAAGGCTATGGTTTCTTATTTCACAGAAAAAGTGCAAACAAATTCGACAAGTTGACAATTAAGATTGTCAATTCACTTGATTATATAAAAACGTCTATTTTCCTATAATTTCCTATATATATATCATGGTACAATTATAAAAGGTAACAGCAAATCCCAGCTGATTTGATTCCAATGTAATACTAGTGTCAATATGAATTTGACAAATTATGTTTTTAAAAATCACCCAACAGGAAAATTGGGAACGGATACAATTTGAAATTGTTCATTATTAAATGTGCTCCCGTATTCAATTTACTCAATCTGCCTGCTGGGAAAGTTTGAGGAAGCACATCTTTCTTCAAGAAATAACTCGCTATTCCCAGCATTTTCATATGTGTTACACATATATATGGCAATGGCTCAATTATAGGAAATATGTGGAAGCGATAGAAATATAAATTTGATAGATTTTCATTCATGTTTTTCAATTTTTATTTTGAGGATTCGAAAATATTTCATTTTCAAAATAAAAATAATTTGATGATAATTTGTTTATTTGTTTACATTTTTCTGTCAAATGAGTTGACACTAGTAGAACTTACAAAAACAAATTTCCATGTGGTTGTTGTATCGTTTTTTGTACAACAACACTTGCTGTTACCTTCTATTATTATACCATGTATATATATATATATATACATACATTGGTTGAAAAAATACAAATACTTTCCAGAATAATAGTACGTTTACATTTAAACGGGTTCCGTTAACCCAGTGGGTTTCGATTGTAAATTCCTTTGTATATATGTCAAATAAATCCTCATAGAGTAGGTGAACCCGGTAAAAAGTTGTAATGTATATGCCGTTTAAGTATCGTACAATTTCACAATGCAAAAGTGTGTAAAGGCGCATTTTTATAGCAAAAAAAGAAGAAATTCGTTTCCGAACTATTTTAGCTTCTTTAAAAGATAATCCCAGAAATACCGCCACCAAAATCAATGAAAATATAATATAGAAAGAATGGACTTCGTACATAAAAAGGTCCCGTGAGTACATAAAAAGACCACAAAATTCTGAGAAGTGGTCCTCTTTTACGAAGAAAGCAAGTTTTGCATTTTTGATCATTAAAGGGAAAGATTTACAATGGCTCAGGAGTGGAACTGTGCTAAAAAAATAAAACCTTTTTCAACAGTGAAACAGGGAGGAGGTGGGGTTATGGTATACATGGTTGCATGTCATGAAAATGCGTGGGAAATTTATCTTTTTAGTATCAAAAATTAAAAGACAATTTCATTGACAAAGTACACAGCAACTTAATCTAGGACAAAACTATTATTCACCTTAACTTATCCTGCCTTGTGCTATTTTAAAATGCGCTATGCATTCAAGCAACAAAAGATTTTAGAATAAATTGTTACGACCATCACTTAGTGGAAAGAATAAACAGCCTTATTATGGACATCAATTCACCGTGAATTTATTTCGCTCTTCCCTTTAAAAGTATTCTGAAACAGAACTCGCAGGGATTTTTTTTTTTTGCATTTTCACTTCCCCGTTATTCTGAATCTAGTAGCAAAGCGAAAAATCCGCTTTGTGAAAAAATTACTTATTCTGGATTACAGGGAGTGGGAAAATGTGATGGTATTTTGTGGGAAAATTTTTCGCTAATATTTTATTTGACATATATGCAAAGGAATTGAAAATTGAAACAATCTGGGTTAACGAAATCCGCTTAAATATAAACGTACTATAAAATACCATTGGAAATCCACGGAATGTATAAAGACAATAAGAAATATTTAAGCCGAGTTTGATGCAATTTGGAGGAGAAAAAAAGATGTCTCACCAGAAAAAATTATAAAATAATTGGTCACTTTAAGAATTTTGGGGAGATACAATATCGAAATCAACGTTTATTCATAAGGTTAACAGGTAGGCTTCATTGACTGTCAAATTTATTGCTTGAAGAAAAAATAAACAAAAAATATATTTGTTCGATCCCAAATATATGTGCACATTACTATCATTACGTTTCCCTGAAAGATATTTTGAGTTTTTACCCTGTTCTGGTTGGTATTTCGCGATTAAAAAGTTGGCAGCAAGAGAAGACAAAGGCATGAATTTGCCTTCCGGTTAACCTTCTTAATAAACTTTGATCGAAATTAAATAAAAAGGCGCACAATTATGTAGTGAATTAATAAACTGCGAATTAATTTAATTCAAGCGCAGATTTCTTCTTCGTATTATTAGACGTGTCTTTATATCCGTTCGATGTCATTTTTGTCATAAAAAAATTATTTTATTTGCAATCTGTTGTAATTGTTGCATCAAAACAATAAACAGCTGTTTCACATATCATTGTATGTTGCCATATTTTCAAACTCTAATTTATTTTTTTTAATTACAAAGCAATTTTACAGCGGATTGATATTTCACATTTTTGTTGTTATAAAGTTTAAATAACAATAAAACGTAACAATTTTTAATAAAAAATCAATATATAAAATATTGAAAAATATTACAAAATAAAATTAAAATGGTGCAACACACATTACAACTTAAATTACAATATGGCAACACGAATGTTTTTTTCCATTATCGAAATTTCGAATTCCCATTTCAAATTATTTGCTTCTCAGAATAAGGCGATATTTATTTTATATATTTATTTAATATATGACAGAAGAAGCCTCTACCTACAGAGATACTTTTTGTTATTCACCTACCTTATATTAATTTACCATGTCCCCTAATGGATTTTGGGAAGAAATCACACAGTCTAGGGAGAAATCTCACTTGTGAACATTTTTTGCTTTCACATTCTCTCTCTCGCCTTATTCTGAATGTATTTCTCCCTAGCGAATATCCAGCTAGGGAGAAATCTCACTTGTGAACATTTTTGCTTTCACATGTTCTCTCTATATCGTCTTATTCTGGAATGAATAGGGAGAGTCAAAATGTCATTTTTACACAAATAATATCCAACATTTAATGTAGTATCATTGGTATTTGATTTATTTGTATTTTTTAAATATTTATTACAATTAATATTAAAGATTTAACAAAATGAAATTAATAACTTATTATCGTATAGTTTTTTAGTATCTGTAGTGGCAAATCAAGCCAGCCAGTAAACAAATTAAATGCTATCCTATGGCTACAAACAAAACAAAATATATAATCGAATGCCAAAAAAATAATAATAGTAAGCAACTTTAAATCTGCCCAGAGGAATCTGAAATCTGATTTTTGTTTTCTTTAGTGAAGATGTATACAAAATTAATGTTTGTATGTTATAATAATAATTACGTTAGGAATGTATGTCTATAGTCAGTTTATTCCTCAAATGGATTTAAATTTGAATCATATTGAGATGAGGCCACATCATCTGGTTCATCATCAAAGGGATTTGTTGATTTAGGCGTGGAACGGACTTTCAAGTGATGTGGCTGGCTGATGTGTTGTTGCTGTGCTGAATTTGGTGGTGTAGAACTTTCAAATGGATTTCGATTTATTGCTGTCACCGAGGTTTTCATTTGTATTTCCATAATCTTTGCCGGTTTTGCGAAATCATTACCCAGCGTTTTAATACTTTGAATTTGTTGAAATTTATTTGGTGTTGGGAGATCTGCCATCTGCCTTTTTGATGAAAACACCCCAGTGGATAATTTTTGGGAAATATTTCGTATGGGCGTAGATGGTGCTGGATTGCTGCCATTACTGACCACAGATAAATCCGCCGACTTGGTATCCGCATATTTCTGTGAAATACTCAAACAAACCAAACAACCATTGATTTCCGAATATGATGACAAACATTCCCGATGATATGCATGCTGGCAGAGATAATACACGGACGGTGGCTTTAATAATTGTTTACAAATATCACATTTACTATTACGAAATTCCATGGGTTTTTGTTGATAATCCAAGAGCAGAGATTTGATTTGTTTAAGTTTCCGATCGGCAGCCAAGACATCTTGGAAATTATCAAATGCCAATTGTTTAAGGAAAATATCTTTGGGCAAGGCCTTATTTAGATGCGACAAATTAAAATGGGTGTTGGCGGATATCTTTTGCAGTATTGTCAGGGTGTATTGGGTATTGCAGTGTAGTGTCTTACTTAAAATATATTTAACAAATGCCGATGACTGGGCGGATTGTAAATTATCTTTACTCAAAGTTTGCATCCACATCAAGGAGTATTTATTGGTATCCAAATCAATGGCACTGGTGTCCATGGGCAAATCGAAACAACATTTTAAAAAGCTGCTGAAATTCAAAGCATTCAAACCAAATGTTTCATACATCATTTTAATGCCGGACAAATATTTATGGCTACGACATATGATGAAAATATCATTCAAACTCAGCTGGTGACCGTTTTCCTTAATGGTCTCCATTAGCGAGTGGGCATCCATGCCCGATGATTTCCATTTTTGTAATAGAATCTCAGCCCAAATGATATTTATGCTGGCATTTTTGCGATACTCAAAATCCAAGCTATCCAATACCTGCAGTACCAAATCCTTTTGGCTTAGCAGCAGGGGCAGAATAATTTTTATGAACAACTCAATGGAGGCTGGGATATCGAATTTCTGTGACAAAATGTGTTTCACCACATCCACTGTGTCCAAGGGATATTGTCGCACCAGCCAATTTCCATATTCTGCAAATACCTCCATGGCCTTATCCTCTTTGAGTTGAGAGAAATATTTACGTATATCCTTTTCCTGGCATAGCGAAGACGACTCCCCATCAAACATACCCATACCCATATTGTCACCATTTTGAAACATCTTATTCATATCTCTGGGTAATTCCAAACGGCGATCACAGTTCCTTAATAAATCATAATATTCCTGCGATGCCACCTCCGAGTCCATTAGACTCCTCAGGTATTGTATGAGGAATTCGTTATAGCGAAAATTCAACAACTTACTTATCACCCTGAACGGTGCCACCTGGCCAATCGTTTTGATGTACATATTTACCGATTCCCCAATATCACCGCGTTGCAGTAAATGATCGCCATAGTTAAGGAAAACATTGGCAGCCAAATCGGGATACATAATCTGGCCCTCGACCAATTTCAAGGCAATATCATAAAGATTTTTGTTGTACAACAACTGCAGCTTATAACGCAGCTCTTGGTCACGCAGGGTATATATCATGCCGTCTTTGGTGAAAATCAAACAATTATCAAAATCGGATGTTGGAAAGATGCACTCAATCTCGGCGAGTTCTTCATTAAGTACCATCATGTTATTTTCAATATTTATTATGACTAGTTGGCTGCTGCGCTTGCTGGAATTCGGCGAAGCCTTTACCACAATCAGATGTTTACCAAACCATTTGACAATTTGTTTACTCCCGTTAATGGCAAAACAAGGTCCCCTGCCCTCTATGGTATAACAGTAGAGAGCATCTTCTCGTGCCACCACAAAATATCGTTCCTCACTCGGCTCCCTTTTCGGTTTGAGGGCACAGCAACTCATTGGCGCCACCACATCATCAATGACAATTTTATTTTCCGTGTAATTACCATTTGCCAGAATGCTATAGCAAAACACCCCAGCATCGGAGCACACAAACATATTCAATTCTCCGCGATCCTTACGCAGAAACTCAATACCTTTAATGGATTTCGGACACACCTGCAGGGTTTTGAAATTCCCAGAAATGTCACGGGCCACAATTGATTTGTAAAGGAGTATGTGGCCCTTTTCCAAACCCGCTGCCAAATACAATTGATTATCCATATAATACGAATTCAGCACGGAAACCTTGCAGTGTCTCGGCAAGGCAGCACAGCTAACCGGTATCGCTGGTCTCCTTTTCAATAGCTTCGAAACACTATAGACTTTCAGCATACTTTCTGTGGGTGAAATTTCTTCATGTATGGTCAACAAATCGGAATCATCGGTAATGCAGCAATGATTTATGGCCGCATTGGAAGCCTGAAATGTAATGCATTCCCAATCGCTGAGGAAGACATAAACCATACCGTCGATAGTGCAAAAAATCTTGTATTGCATATTACTGCACTGGGCTGTAACCGAGTCACGTATGTTGACATATTTTGTGTGGACATTCAAGACTTCCAGCTTGAAGAAATTACACATCTTCCATTCGAGCACACCCATTATTGTTGTTTTGTGGACACTGTCAACTTTCCCGATAACTTCTATTGCTATTTCCTTTTACTGGTATTAAATTAAAGTTGCTGTAGAAAATAATTTCCACGTCCAGTTCGTGGAATGGTCACCAGGAAAAATAGTCTTTCTTTTCTTTTGCCTCAATGACTAAATCTCTGTGCCCTATTATCTTTTGTTTGTTTGTGTTTAGCAAAAAACAATAATGACCAATTAGCAAAGAATTCTGACAGTTCTGTCATTTAACGGTTTAATAGGGTTGCCGTGATATCAAAGAAATGAACAAAATATCAAAGAAGATGAAAAAGTGCTTTTACACGAGCTCTATTTTCGTATAAGAAACATAAGGAAATCAGCTGTTTTCAAAGAAACACATTGTCAAAGTAAATTTTTATTTCGTTTATAGGTGATTAACCCTTTGTGGCTTATGTTGCCCACAGGAAGCAAAATGTTTTAAAGCTTGTATTTAATATGTAGCTAGTATATATATATATATATATATATATTCTTTGGATTTCATACGTCAATACCCGAATATAGACAACACATATCAAAAGAAAAAAAATAATTTTTCCGTTGATTCAGTATTTGGTTTTCTTGATATTGGACTTATATTTTTCCCGAAAGCAAAGAAGTAGCGATGCCAAATTTTGTCCATATCCTATCTAGGATAGTTGCATTACATATGTGAACAAAAAATTGTTCTATGAAAAAATTCGGGACTCAAAAGGGTTAAAAACATCCCTTCAGATTTTTTAACACGTTGACGGACAGTTGCGTCTATAGGCGTGCATTTACCAGCGTACAAGTTGAAGCCTAGTGTCATGTTTTCGAATTTCACTTGTTTCTACTGTCCGTCAACGTGTTAATAGGACAGGATATATACACCTGCCAAAAAATATTCGTAAGCATTCATCATACAATTTCAAACTCAAAAAAATTGAGTGATTTGTTGAAGTTCCTTGCAGTAAACGATAAACCAGGATTCCCTACTAGGAAACTCTCTATGATGTCGTTATGAGAGGGAGTATAACAACTGATGTGAGTACTCCTCACCAACCGGTGACATGTAAACGATCCTAGCTTGGCCACAATTCAACGACTTTCAGGCAAACGTTTCCCGGATCCGTAGAGCACATATAGCAGATGGAATTTAACGAGAGAATCATGTGGTTGGAGATTCAAGATTGCATTCAAGTCTGTCGATCGCTGTACAATACTCATGCAAGGTGGCATTTTAGCCAACAGTATCTTTTTGTTGATACTGTTGGCTAAAATGCCACCTTGTCACCATACAAGGCAACCATATGTAAGAATGAGGAGTACAACCTTTACATACAGCCAGTGTATGATCTCTGGTTTTAGTCCCAAAATCAAAAAATGCGCTCAGTGATGCAGATTTATCTGAACAATGTTTTCGCTTGATGCTGTCTGTTTCTTGTTTTAATGGAGGGAGTCTGAATTGGAGTTCCCCCATCCCGTAAAACAATTCAATAGCGAACTTTGCGACAAGACCGCTGTTCCTTTCAAATGCGGTGAAGATTCTCTACTAGATTTTACTATTTTCCTCGATAGTATTTTCGATATCGTAGTAAAAAATAGTAGATTCTTGCAATACGGGAACATGCAAATACAAATTTATAATAATAATTTAATAGTTCTTATTTTTAATAACGATGTCATATTATTAAAAAAAATATTATTAAATAATAATATAAATATGCAAATGAATTGTAATAATTATATTAAATTTTAATTTCTATGTTCCAATATATTGTTTAGCCTCTTAAAAGCAAACTCCCACTCTCTCTCTCCCTCATTGAATTATTTTCTTGTGCTATGGCAACACTTTTTTCCTACAAAACAAAAACAAATGACAGCTGCTGCAATAACAAAATTGCCTGCTGCTTTTGTTGTTGTTCTTGTTGGGTATTGGCATAGAATAGAAAAAAGAACAGAGAAGCATGAACAAAACATATTCCTAAAATTATTCTTTTTTTTTGTTAACAAAAGAAAAATTAAATTGTGAAATACGTTTGGAAATCATTATGGCTGGATTAATTGACAAAAGGTAAGGAAGTGAAGAAATAAAATAAAAAATAATAAGAAAATAAATATAAATGTCTTTTGAATTTGTTCGCAGAAAACGCAGCAGGGAAGATGATGTCTCCTGCGATTCAACACCATTATCGAAACGCATCAATAATTTGCATTTATCCAATTTTGAAGAGGCTGCAGCTGGAGCAGCACCGGAGAACAACAACAATCATATACAGCAGGTATTGAATTGGTGCCACGGACGTGACGAAATTTAATATGTAGATATGTATAGGGAGTACATTTATTGAATGACAAACAGAGGTCCATATCTCGGGAAATATGGACTTCCTCCATGAAAGTCATATATTTTCGTCCGAAAAAAATCCGAGATGGTCCCATTTAAATCTCTAATTAAGAGGTTTACAATAACAATTATATCCGCGAATGTATATACCTTTACATTTTAAGATTCCAATACCTGACCTATCCAATGACTCGACATAAATTATGAAATTGAAATGGCTTACCACAGTGTAGTAGTACGTTTACATTTAACCGGATTTCGTTAACCCAGTGGATTTCAGTTGTCAATTCCTTTGCATATATGTCAAATAAATCCTCATAAAGTAGGTTAACCCGGCTAAAAAGTTCTAATGTATATGCCGTTTAGGATATCCTGCCAAAGACGAGTATATAAAATTAATTTTCTCTTCTTTCTCTCCACTTACAGCACATGTCTAAAGAAGCCATGAATATGCATCACCATCATCATCATGCCACAGCTGCTGCAACAAACAAACCTCATATGAATGGTGTACCAAATGTGGACACAAATAATGCCATGTACCATCCGGAATTAAATAAATCGGAAAATCCATTTTACTATGATAAAAATAAGCTATTACATGAACTACATTTGGAACGTATGAAACGGTGTACGGTTTAAAACCAGAAATACAAAACAACGCGAATGTCTCCAAAATATTTTTTGTTTAGAAACTCCTGGATTAGAGTATTATAAGTTTATTATTATTAATTTTATATTTAATAAGATATTCTGTCTTTCGTTTCAATTTGCATTTTTTTTTTTGTTTTGCATGCAAACACTCACACGCAACTACATTTATATTAATTGCCAAAAACAAAAACCTTTTGTATCTCATTATTTAATCATACTAAATTGAAATATAACTTTAATCTGTCTTTAGTTAAAAAAACAAATCTTACTTGTAAGAAATATATGTGATTAAAACAAATGAAAAATAAAACTAAAAAAATACATTATTATTTTTTGCCTATGGTTTTATTTCAATGTTCTTCCTTATTTGGAGGAATTGCAAGTAATGTGCTTTACATTTAATTTTCCCTATACTTCCAGTTTCACTTCTATAATATATACATTTTTCCTCTCTCTTTACCATTCCCCTTTTCCGATACTTAATATATTTATCCAATTCTCTGAATCACAATTTTATCAGTTTCCTGATCGAAAGCTGACCAAAATTCAAAAATTTTGTCTGTCGTTGGTCATGGTTCTCTCTTCATCGCTCGGCAGTGTTATGAATGAAAGATATTTTTGATCGCGTAGTCGAATTTTCCACCTGTCCGTAGGGGAAAGTTTTAATGTAATGGTCCCTAATGGTGAAGAGATCGAAATACTCCTCATTAATATATTTTTCCAATTTTCCGAAGGCTTGTGCCTTGTTGTTTTCAGAATATACAGTTTTATCAGTTGCTTGATCGAAAGCGGAAAAAAATGGTGTCTATCTATCTCTCCACCTTTTAATGGTTAATTTTTCCGATCGATATACTCATTAAAATATTTTTCCAATTCTCTGAAGTCTCGTCTCTGATCTAGAATTGTACTTTCTGCATACAAGGCATTTTTTTCAAAACTTCCGAAACGGACTTGGAACTCAAATCCCAATATAGCTTGATTTAGCAGTTAAATCGAGATAAAGTACGATAAAGACTTTTGTCTAAACGCTCCTTAAATATTAAGTTTGACAGCTAAAGGCGTGTTTAGACTACAGAGTGATAAAGTGTATTAAACGGCATTGGCAATTAAAACCCACTGGGTTAACGAAATCCGGTATAATGTAAACGTACTATTATGTCTATTTAATTGCTAAATCAAGATCAATTTACAATGATTTACCATATCATATTAAATTCACTCAATATCTCTATTTTTTGAAATCTAATCGAGATAATTTTGAATACAACCTTGCTTTTACTTCCGAAACATAGTGACTCTTCTTAAACTTGCTAGAAAATACGTTATAATTTAAAATAGTTGCATAATAAAATTTTGACAGCTGATCTGAGATTTTTATGTAAAATTGAGATTTTTACCAGAGCCTATAAACAATTTCACCCAGCTATTGAAAGTCAGATGTTTCTTTCTCAAGTCGACTGCCAAAAATTTGGACATTGTTTACGTTTTTATAATGAAAATCAATTCACAATAATGTATTTTGACAGCAAACTTGAGACAAATCAACTTTAAATCGTTTTAATACCGGTCTAAGCAGCTAGTATTTGGTAGCGTGATGATGCGTTCAATGCCACCATTTTTATCGATTTCTGATTGTCCAACAACCATGAACATTTTCGTGATTGCTTGATGAATCACGAACATGAATAGGCAATAAAAACTAATAATGTGTACACCGCTTAAAATTGCGTTTAGATTTATGAAATCCACTCAATCTCAAATATCTATTCCATTAATCTATTAATAAAATCACTCAGCAATCAAAATCGATCAAACCAATAGTAGTCTAAACGTGCTCTAAGACTTAGTTCAAGGTACACTTTAGAAGGTAGCCGCATCGGCAATTTATTATGACATATCAAAAATGCTTTGCAAAAACAAAACGATTAATAAGATTTTCTTACATTCAGATAATGTTAATAAATTTATTTCCGAAAAAAATTTCAATTATTAATTTCTAGTTTTCAATTTATTTCCCTATTAAATTACAGCATTAACATTTTTTGACATTTAATTGTATCAACAGCTGTGCTTTCTCCCCCTCTAACTAGTTCCATCGCTCTTTTCAGTGAATACCGTTTTCATTGCATTTGAACTAGTTCAATCGTTCATTTCAGTGAATATATGTGTGTGTCATTTGAACTAATCCATTCGTGAACTGTACAACTCTACTCGGTTCTCTGCATACGACGAATTGATTTGTGCCCAACCCAAAAAAATTTTTCTTGTTAAAAATGTAAGTAAATTAACAAGAATTCTGGATAGAATTGGTAAAAAAATTGTTAAAAAATAATAAAAAGTGCAAAAAGAATGTGAAGTGTATAAAGATAGCAAAACGCAATGAAAAAAACTTGTGATGCGGAAAAAGAGAAAATTCTAAAGTGAAAAAAAGTTGAGACATCTCGGTGAACGAATGAAGGAATAAGAAGAAGAAGCACAAAAAATACGACAAAAAAATGATGACAGCAGGCAGCAGCGTCATTGGCGGCCGCGGCGCCGCCGACGTTGTAGATAATCATCATGATGATAATGAAGTCGGCAAAACGAATCAAGTTAACAAAGAAAAGAATGGATGACGATGATGACGAGAATACTGAATTTGTTGTGTGTTTGATGAAAAAAAGAACGAATGAACGAGAAAAAAGAAGTGAAATGAAGTGGGGAAAAATGTCGCCTAAATAATTTTCTCCCCCTATATATATTTGCGTTATTTTGTATGTTCCTTTGTTCAAATTGATGGGAAGGAGTGCATAACAATAGAAAATGCTTGGAAAAAAGTGGATATTGCTTTATCCAGCCATCCATCTTCATCAGCTTTTTTTGGTTTATCCACCATCAGAACTTGCCAAAATGCTAGTAACCCACACATAATGCTGCCCATAATGATGATGTTGTTGTGTTTCTTGTTGTTGTTAGTTTAGCAGCAGCAATTGTTTGTTGTTCGCCCGTTTATTCGTTGGGTTTGTATGTATGTATGCTAGATATTTCAATTATTCTTGTGCTAAATTCCTAAAAACAAGTTTGGAAATCAGACTTTCAATCGCAATGCAATGTTGTGAACAAACAAACAGCAGCAAGCAGCTCCTCCCGCCGCTGCTTGCTTGCATACAACAAAAATATATAGATATTCCATTTATGGGTGTGTGTGTGTTTGTTTGTGTGGTCTGACTTTCCGCGAGTTGGGTATGAGACTGTAGGAGTGAGTGAGTGTGTTGCCCATATTAATCGGGTGGGAGTTGGTCGGTTGGTTGGCTGGTGTAAGGGGACGTGATGAACAACAATTGCCTGAAATCGTTAACTATGTTTTGTGAGTTGTAGTTGTTGCTTTTTCTTCTTCTTATTTTCAATTTGTCTCTTTGTGTTTGTTTTTTTGCTTCGATTGGCAGTTCTTTTTTTATATTTTTCTTATCATGTTATCACATTTAGTTTTCCCCCGGACATCGTGTACGGGCTGACTGTCTGACTGCTTGGTTGATTGCTGTGTTATGTTGACTCATAGTAAGATACGAACGACGAAGAAAAAAAGTAGTATCAACTGACAGCTAGGCTAACGATCGCAGTGCAAAAAAGGGCTGGAAAAAATATATTTTTTTTCTGTTGTCTCTCTCTCCATCCCTCATTGATTGATTTGCTGTGTGTGTGTGAGTGTGTGAACTCGCTGAATATTGGGGAGTTTTGTAGAAGAAACGAAGAAGAAGAAATACTAAAAAGAAAACAAACGCAAAAACTTGTGTATTCCATTGACGATCAATTGCGTTGTTGACAACTTCCGATATCTGAATTTCTTCATTTGCTGTTGCCTTCTTCTGCCTGTCTGTTCATAACTCTGTCTGCTGTCGACGCCACAGCTGGCTGCTTTTTCGTTTGCAATCAACAACAAGAACAACAAAAAAGTCTGTGTTGCAGTCGCGCCCTGTGTCATTAAAACGTAGCAATCACACCAACAAACACACAAATACATTAAAATCGTATGTATGTATGTTGCATCTCTGTTATGGATTATATACTTTAAAATGTACTGTTGTATGTAATCTTGTGTGTTGTGTCTCTGGTATTTTATGTGTAGGAGCCACCGCCACTGCCGTATTGTGAAACCCCCAAGTGTTGGATACTTCCAAAAGAAGACAAGTGTCGTATCTCTTTTGTGGTGTCTTCCTCCTTTTCGTATTCGTCATAATGACAAATAATGATGATGATGATGATTGCATGTAAAAGAGTGTAGAATTCAGGAAGGAAGCAAGGAAGCTAATCAGTCCTGAATTGAAGAATATTTAATGGGTGTCTTACAACTCAATTCCCTTTGTTGTGAAATGAATCCAAATACAGTGGTATTTTCTTTTTGTGGAACAACATTTTCTGACTTACGTCTTAGCTTCATAGGTCACGTGCTGTATATATTAATAGTCAAACGACATTCAAAACGGGTTATGAAATAATAGCGGGTCTTTAAAGGTTTTATTTTATGGTGTTCATAGAAAGGGGTAACAACTCTAGTAAAAACAATCAGATTTTTCAGAGGCAGATATTTTTACCCAAAGTATGGAGACACAATTTTTTTTCTTGGAGGACGTGCCCGGTTATTTGTCGCAGATGTTCAAGTACGGGTCTCATTTTAATGCGTAAGGAACTACATTTCCATTAATAGTCCGTTCATCGCTCCATCCAAATTAAGAACGTATTCTAATTCTGGTGACAGTAGAGATACCCAGCGATTTCGTGGAGTTATAATAAAGCCAACTGGCACGGCTTCACAAAATTCATTGAAGAATCCCTTAAGTCCTATACCGCCACCCGTATGTGCCAGAAAGGGTGACATGATGTTCCTCGAAACTCACTGTCCCGTCCAATGAATCGGTTGCAGTATTTAACCGATCTCCGGTACATATTCTTGGCAGCGATCTCCTTGGCGTTGACTTGTCTTGCAGTTCCTGGTACTGATGATTCATCCATCTTAACGACGAGAGTCTCAGCTTCGACAGCTATCTGCCTGAGAAGTCTCGCGACGTCTCTACAGGTCATGGAGTTCGGATCCTCAACCTCGCCAGGTTTAACACCCCGACTCATCATTTGGGAGGACTCACTTTGCTTCGGAGGAGACACCAGGATAGCTACCGTGTTCGTCACCGTAGTGCTAATCACTGTAGGGTCCATGAGTCGTCCCAGAGTTGATTGGGGCTGATTGTCCGCGACTATTTATTTGTTATTCACAGCAACGTTATCCACTGCAACGTCTACGACATACAAGGCCATCGGTCATTCCATTCATTCCGAATACATCATCCAGAATTTGAAAGCTAGAAATAAAGTTCTGAAAGTTTTGGCTGGCACCTCCTGGGGCAAGGATAAAAAAACGTTGGTAACGACATACAAGGCCATCGGTCATTCCATTCTTTATTATGCTGCCCCAATCTGGACTTCTTTCCTTAGTGACGACACACAATGGAGATCCTTGCAAACTATACAAAATAATGCTCAACGAATTGCAATCGGGTGAGTCCAGATGACCAGCGTCGATCACCTCCATGAGGAGACTAGGATGCTGCCACAAAACCAGGATGCGGTCATAATGTGTTGTTGATTAGACAGTTCTCTCGACCATGCTATCTGCCGTGTCATCCCAAACATAACACAGTAATGGCTGATCAACCTCCGCGACTCATCTGTTAGGACTTCAGGCTATATCGTAAAGGCATCCAAATGGCATTCCATCAAACGTCAACAGATCGTCAATAGCGAACGCAATGATATCCGTGCATCAACAGGCGGTCTCCGAAACCATAAATGGCTACACATGCAACAAAGACCTGCTCCAACATCCCATTGCAATTTCGAACAATAAAAGGCTTCTTCCAAAGCAAACCTGTCTGGCGCAACTGAGATACGGGCAATGTAGCAATATTCTCAATTCGTATGGAACCTTGGGGTTTGAGGTCCTTTATCATGGATACTTTGAAATCATTTAATTTATTTGGATATGTGTTTATCGCCCAAAATGGACTTCCATAAACACATTACTTCTTCGAAAGTTTGGAAAATGTTAATGGCGCCCAACATAAAATCATTTCATTGGAATATTTCAGAATAGAGAATACTCAAATTATTGAAATTCTATTCATAATAATTAGACACTCAGATATTCAGCAAATTAGATGAGGTACAAATAGTCGCCTCGATTTTAATAACAGGAGCCATGAGGAGCACACCACAAGCAGCTATGAACGCAATGCTGAACTTAAAGCCTCTGGGCCTCAGCATTAACTTTCAGGCCGCACGTAGCGCCCTAAGGCTGCATGAACAAAACCTCTGGCGAAGTTGTACCTTTGGGCATGGTTGTATCTTGAACGAATCTGGTATGACATTGTATCAAGACGTAAAACTAAGCGACTATATATCACCAGTCCTGAGATTTGACGATGTAGATGTCGTTATTCCTAGTAGAGCAGACGAATTAGCTAGACGAGGATCTAAATCTACAGATCTATCAATTGATGACTCAATCAAACCACTCATATGTCATCTTTACCGGAACTTTGATGCGTTCTTCGACAAAAGAGCCTATGAAAGTTGGCACAACGAACCTAGGTGTAATGTGTCAAGATCTATTTGGCCGAACCTGTCTACCAAAAGGACACACTCACTGTTGAACCTGAGCAAAGCCGAAATAAGAGTAATGACAGGAATCATTACTGGTCATTGCAATATCAGGGCCTTTATTAGTAAATGGGATCTTGATTCAATTGATTACTGTAGACTCTGCGTTGACGAGGAGGAGACGTTGACAATTGAGCAATTGTCACTGTCCAGCCCTGGCTTACAGGCGGCACAGGCTAGTGGGTGCTAATTTTCCACCGAGTCTTAGCTTCTTCTCAACAACCGAATCTGCTCTAATCTACAGCATAATTAGAAACCTAAAGTGGTTGGGAAAGTGCAACCTTGACATGTAATATATCTTCTGTCTGATCTCTATAGCCATCGAAACTATTTCCACCTACTTCCTAATACTTCTAGTTAGATTCTTATCCTTTAAAGGGAGTATTCCATATTTATATCCATATTCCTTCTTCGAACGTTTGAACACTGAAAATGGCGCCCAACATAAATTAATGTCATTGGAATATTTCAGATTAGAGAACACACAGATCGATTCTATTCTAGGGAAAGTCAGGAAGAAATGATAAAGATTCAACTCTTTAAAACAATACCTCCTTCTATATAAAAATAAAGGGAGGGAGTATTTCATATTTTTATATTCCACTTTACCGCAAACGTTTTTTAAAAGGTGTAATATTCTATGGAGTCTACAATCGCACCATTGAAATAGGACAACGAAATAAAATGAATGATAAAATTCACATTTGTTGTAAAGAAGAAGAAAAAAAAACACCCCCATCCATTTACTTCACAGCAGGACACCATTGTCTTTGTCGCTAAGACAGCATGTACTACAAACTTGAAAACATGTTCCCCCTCTCTTTTGAAAAATGCAATACAATTTTGAAATAAAATTTACATAATTAACACAATTTACAATTTTGTATATGACACACCTTATGATTTCAAAAGAAAATTCTAAGGGAAAGGAGGGAGTGTTGATTTGCAATTACAATTTTAATTCAAGAGGTTTTCCTGAGTTTATTTTTAACACAAAATAATTAATAATCTTATTTTTTATTTCCAGCTTAAACTAACACAAAACAATGCAGACCATCAAGTGTGTTGTTGTTGGCGACGGTGCTGTGGGTAAAACCTGCCTACTCATTTCATATACCACCAATAAATTCCCCTCGGAATATGTACCGACAGTATTCGATAATTATGCTGTAACGGTTATGATCGGTGGCGAACCCTATACATTGGGTCTCTTCGATACAGCTGGCCAAGAAGATTACGATCGTTTGCGTCCATTGTCATATCCACAAACAGATGTATTTTTGGTGTGTTTCTCAGTCGTTAGTCCTAGTTCATTTGAAAATGTCAAAGAAAAGGTAAGTAGAGAAAAATTTTTGCGAATTGAATACATTTATTTATAGGTTAATTTCAAAAGGGGTTAACTGTCCAAAGATGGCCTTTCCAAGAAACCTTTCTATAAAATAAAGGCAGAAGGACCAAGCATAGAATTAATTGGGATGTATATAAACAGTCTTGGGCATGCTTTAGTGAGTCAATTGAAGGAGTTAACGAAGCATTTAGATTTCGAAATGTATCTAAGGACCCCAAAATCCAAAGGCAGTATATATCAAGTTTCAAGGGGTTATCTATCAAGTTTTCAATACTTTCGTTTGGTTCAATGACATATAATGCCATTGGTCGTTCCATCCTTAGTTATGGTGCCCCAGTCTGGACTTCTTTCTTTAGCGACGACACACAATGGAGATTCTTGTAAACAAAACAAAATAATGCACCACGAATTGCAACCGACTGTGTGTCCAGATGACGAGCATCGATCACCTCAATGAGGAGACCATAATGTGTTGTTGACTAGACTGTTCCTGCGGTCTCGCTATCTACCGTGTCATCCCAACCATCACACAATGATGGTAGATGCACCTCCGCTACACATCCGTCAAAACTGCCGGCGCTATCGTGGTAGCATCCAAGACGTCATTCAATCGAACGTCAACAGATTGTCGATAGCGAACGCGATGAAATCCGTGCATCAAACCATAAATGGCTACAAATGCATCAAAGACCTACTCCAGCAGCGAGAGGCTTCTTCCTGGGCAAATCCGTTCGATACTAGCACAACTATGGTCCGGGTACAGCATTATTCTCAATTCCGTTGTCATCCCAACCATCACACAGTGATGGCAGATGCACCTCCGCGAGACATCCGCCAGAAATTCAGGTGCTATCTTGATGGCATCTGTCATTCCATCGAACGTCAACAGATCGTCGATAGCGGACGCGATAAAATCCCTGCATCAATTGGCGGTTTCCGCAGCCATAAATGGCTACAAATGCAACAAAGTCCTACTCCAACATCCTCTTGCAATTTCGAACAGTGAGAGGGTTCTTCCAAGGCAAAACCCGTTCGATACTGGCAGTAATGTTCTCAATATCGTATCGAAAGCGCATTGTTGTCCCCGGAAACCTAAATAGGTGTCCCTCCTGCCAGCAAAGTCCTCACGACACACACCATCTATTCAATTGTCCCGTTCGAGCCTAAAAGTCTATTGCCTATAGACCCATGACTAAAGCCAATTCAGGTGGCATAGTGTCTCCGGCTACCCTCTTAAAATCCGAATTCCTGTGGGGACGAGGAGAAGACGGGACGATAGAGGATTTTCTGTGCCACTGTCCAGTTGTGACCTGTAGAAATCATAGATTAGTTGGTGTTCACTTTGTTCAAGGGATCCTCTTTAAATATGAAATATTTTAAGAAGTTTTTCTATGCAGAAAAAAACCCTTCTCAGAGGGTCTTCTAACCACAAAACACCTCAATGTGAAGTCGTCTCTTTATAAAGTGTTTTTTACAAAATACCCATTGAGTGGTCTTCTCTTTATAAATAGGACGAGGAGAAGACGGAGACGATCGAGCATCTTCAGTTCTGTCTTGCAGACGGCATAGAATAGTGAATGTTCACTTTCGTCAAGGGTACTTGCATTAAATATAATAGAACCCAAGAGAAGGGGGTTTTCCTGCATAGAAAACCCTCTGCTATGCAGGAAAACCCATTCTCGGGGGTATTTTAACCTCAAAAGATACGAAAGAACATGGGTACACTATTATTAGCGATCTCTACAAAAAATGACTCCATAGAGACATATCTATAGATGACCTCAGTATGGGGTCTTCAATCTAGCAAGACGCTGCGATTTGGAAGACAGCGGAATTGATAAAACATCTGGATCTTTGTGGATAGCCAAACGGCTCCTGAAGCCATCAAATGGTGTAGCATCAAGTCTGAGATCGTCATTGGGTGTAGAACAGCTTTGGAAACACTACCTAACAGCTATTGACTATGCTGGGTACCAGGAAGTCATCTTCAAAACATTCATAGAAGTCCCTCCAAAGAGACTTATATGATCTCAGTATAGAATCGTCCATATATACAGTTCTTTTTACAAAATGTCCTTTGAATGGCCTTCTTTTCATATATAGGACCATAGGCACTTTTTTATATAGAGTACCCCTTAAGAAGCTCTCCAAAACATTCATCGAAGACCCTCTTAAAATTACTCCAAAGAGATTTAGATGACCTCAGTATGGAGAGTAGGTCTTTTTTATAAATACGGCCATAGGCACTTTTTTATGTAGAAGTCCCCTTGAGAACCTCCTCAAAACATCCATAGAAGACCTTAAAATTACTCCAAAGAAACTTACATTATTTCTGTACAGAATTTTCTTTTTTTACAAAATGCCTCTTGAGTAGGTATTTTTTATTAATAGGACCATAGGTACTTTTTTATATAGAAGACCCCTTAAGAACCTCTTCAAAACATCCATAGAAGACCTCATTAAAATTACTCCGTAGAGACTTAAATGACCTCAGTAAAGTTTTTTTTATAAAATACCTCTTGAGAAGGTCTTTTTTATAAATAGGATCATAGGCACTCTTTTATATAGAAGAGAAAATTGGGTAATATTCTCCTCCAGAGAAATTGTGGCACCCATTGTGGGGCATTTGCCAAAATATTTTTTTAATAACAGTCGAAATCTATTACAACTACAACTTTAACCGGTATGGATATTTAAAGGTTAGAGAAATTTTTGGCACCCAACGTGGTTCTTCTAAAAATATTTTCTAATTTAATTTCCATTAAAGAAGAATTATATTATATATAAAAATATTTTCTTATTTAATTTCCATTAAAGAAGAATTATGGCGCCCAACAAGGGATTAATGGCGACTCTATTCAGTCACCAAAGTCCATTAAGAGGAAAATGATCGATATTTCGTGTTGCTTCTAAAAGGGATTATGGCGCCCAATCAAAATATCATTAAATATCTTCAATGGCGAGAGCCCTCTAAAGAAAATCAAAAAGTTGTTTTTTTATTATTTTAAATTAATTTAAAAATTAAAATTTTGTTCTATATTTTTTAGTGGGTACCCGAAATCCAGCATCATGCCCAAAAGACACCCTTCTTGTTGGTGGGAACGCAAATCGATTTGCGCGACGAGACCAGTACATTGGAAAAATTGGCCAAGAACAAACAAAAACCCATTGGCATTGAAATGGGCGAGAAATTGGCCAAGGAATTGAAGGCAGTTAAATATGTGGAATGCTCTGCCTTGACACAGGTAAGTTTCAGAATAAAAAATGTAACCCCAGAAATACTAATCCCACTTTTTTCTTTTTCTCTTTGGTCTTTTGCAGAAAGGTCTTAAAAATGTTTTCGATGAGGCAATTTTGGCTGCATTGGAACCACCAGAACCCGCCAAGAAAAAGCGATGCAGATTCTTATAATTTTGTGTATGTGTATTATAATTTATGAAACAACAGCAACAAAACACAAGAAAGTTTTACATACACGCAATCAATAATTTCTAAAAAAAAACAAAAAGAAGAAGAAGAAAAAACACAACACTGCAACAAAAACAACATTGAACTATTGGATTTATATAAAAAACAAAAACAATGAAAGAGAAAAATATATATTTGGCAAAAAAGCGTCATAAGTTTAAATTTAAAATTTAAAAGCGAAAAATACTAAATTAAACAAACAATGAAAACTAACCACAACAACAAGAAGAAAACGAAACTCGGATTTCTAGCTTAGTCACTGCAGCAAAAAACAAAAACAAAAAACCCAAGGAACCAGCAATAAATTAAAACACAATTTAATATAACAAAAACATTTTTTGCATACATACATATATTGATCAATATTTGATATGGTCCTAAAATTCTATTAGAAAAAGAGTTTATATATGATGAAGAAAAAAACAACAACAAAACAACACCAACAATAATAACATTTAAAAATAATGTTAAAACTATTTTTTAGTAATACAAAAACAAAAGAAGAAGATGAAAAAAAATATTGAAGTTTGTCGTCGTAAAAACAACAACACATATACCACACCAACAACAACTATTACTACTACAACTACTGATGGCAGTAACAACAATAATAATTTATCTAAAACAACAAATAAATATTAATTGAATTTTGATTTGATTTATTTGAAAATAATAAAACATAAACGCAACAGAGTTTAACTAAAAATACAAAAACAAAAACCAACAACAACTAATGTTATTTGTCATTGTCAAAGAAGAAAAAAGAAACAACACACACAGTAAATCGAAGCTATCTTCCTTGTTTTTTTTTTCGTTCAAGCTCATATAAAACAACCAGCTGATTTGCTATGACATTTATCATATATCTACAGCTGTAGATATTTGTTTCTCTCCTTCTCCCACTCTCTTAACAATACCCACATAAACATGTTTCGTTTTGTCATTCATTTACAGTTTTTTTCTACTTGACGCTAGCGCTTTGGTGTGACAAGTTTTAAAGCGCCCACAACATTGTTTTTTTATTAATTCTTCATTCATTCAAATAAATACCCCAAACAAGTGCATAAAATAGCAGAAAACAAAAAACATAAAAATTGAAAAAAAAACAAAAACCACAACATCAACATCAAGAGACAAAAATGATTCTAGTTCGTCTTACTTGAACTAATGCATTTTTTATTTAAAATAAAAACAAAACAAAAAAAATTATATTAATATATACAATATTAATCATTAATAATATATTAAACGATAAAACAAAAAGCAAAACAAAAAAACATATTTTTATATATACAAATTATCAATTTTTACATTATATTTTTAGTTTCTTAGACATTGTAACTATTGATTTCAGATATTATAATAAAATAAAAAAACAAAACAGAAAAAAAACAATTATGAAAAAGTGAAACAATAAAATTTCTTAAATTATAAATAATAATAAAAAAATAAAAACAAAAAAACAAATACAAAATTGTCAAGTTCAAACGGGCCCAGACCACGTGGTGTGCATTTAAAATCAGGACATTTTTTCTAATTCTTTTAAGTATAGAACAAGTGTTGGGCAATTTAAAACATAATTTTTAATTATTTTCAGTATAAAGCAATTATGGCGCCCAACATGAGATGACAAAACAATATTTTTACAATTATTTTTATAATAAACAAATGTGGAGCAGTAGTTTTGTGTAAAAAAATTCAATTTTTTTACAATTTTTTTTTATCATAGTTACATTGAATGAAAATTAGACAATATTTCTACTCCAGAGAAAATGTGGCTATAAATGTCGAGTTCCAGTCTTATTATAGGCCAAATACAATTTTTATAATTATTTCCATTATAGAACAATAATGGCGCCCAACATGGAGTCCGTAAAATAAAATTTCTAATTATTTTCATAGTCGATGAAGAGGAAATTGAACGATATTTCAATGCTAGAGAAATTTTGGCGCCCAACGTGGTGTTAATAAAAATATTTTCTAATTTAATTTCCATTGAAGAAGAAGAAGAATTGGCGCCCAATAAGATATTAATGGCGCCAATATATACGCGGAAAAGACGATGAATAGGAATTTGAATGATATTTCAAGGCTAGAGAAATGTTGGCGCCCAACGTGGTGCTTGCAAAAATATTTTCTAATTATTTCCATTATACAAAATTATAACGCCAATATGAGATCATAAAACAATATTTTTTATGATAAAACAAATTATGGCGCAAATGGCATATGTTTTCGAATAATTTTGTGAATGATAAATTAAATTTTTTCGTCTATCTCCTCCTCTGGGTATCACGACGTAAGACCAAAAAAAAACGCTCAAGAGGAGGTGGCCAAAGTGGGACAATTAAAACATATTTTCTAATTATTTCCATTATACAACAATTATAACGCCCAAAATGAGATCACAAGACAATAATTTCCAATTACTTTTATGATATAAAATAAAAATTATGGCGCCCAATGTGACGCAAATGACATATATATTTTTTTCAATTACAGTCGAAATCTATTGCACCCGGTAAAATTAGTCCCCCATAAATGACGAGTTCCGGTCTTATTATAAGCGAATACTGTCTTTATAACCGGTATATCGTTAACATAAACGCAGTCTTTATAAACGATTTCGTTTGTATTTCCATTATAGAACAATAATGGCGCCAAACATAGAGTCCGTAAAATAAAATGTCTAATTACTTTAATTGTATAACAATTAATGGACCGTATATACACGCGGAAAACTCGATGAAGAGAAAATTTCTATGCTAGAGAAATTTTGGCGCCCAACGTGGTTTTTCTAAAAATATTTTCTAATTATTTTCATTAAAAAAAGAACTATGGCGCTCAACAAGAGATCATTAAATATTTTGTAATAATTTTTATTGTATAATGGCGCCCAATGTAGGGTATCTATATATATTTTCAAATTATTTACTGAAAGAAAATTTTTACATTACGATATTTCAATGCTAGAGACAATTTTACGCCCAATGTGGTGTTTCTAAAAATATATATTATTTCCATTAGAGAAGAACTATGGCGCCCAACAGGATATTAAATATTTTTATGATATAAAAGTAATGGCGCCCAATGTGGGGCACCAAAAAAAAATTCGAATAATTCCCTGAAAGAAAACAATGGACATAATTTCCGAAAATACAGCTAAAAATTTCAAAGTTCTGAAAATGGATGGCTAGCCTATTTGGGGGTCAAAACATGGACTTATATTGATAATTTTCTGGATATATGAATGTCTGCTATCAAGAATCCTTTATACCAAATTACAGCCACATTGGCGAAAAATGTCGCCTTCAAATATCGAAAATAGATCGGAGCTATAACAAATCATAAACCGATATTGATCGTTTTTGTGTATGAAGATTTGACACTCAATGGCAACCTGAAAAATTAACTTAAAGCCATTTTGGTTTGAAAAACGATTACAAAATGACGAAAATAGTGGGTACCATAAATGGGATCTACCCGGAACTTGGTCCAATATTGATAATTTTTGATAGTGAGATTTTCTACTCAATGAGGAACCAAAACAAATAAATTTACAGTCAATAAAATACCGAAATTTAGAATAGAGTGTTATATGGCGGGCTACCCTAAAAAGTTGACCAATATTGATAATTTAAAGTAAGAATATATTTCCTGCTCAGTCATAATTCAAAAATCAAATTATAGATGATTGAAGTACGTACTAAAAAGCTCTCCATTTGCGAATTTTGGGAGGTAACGTTACATGTGGACCTACTCAAAAAAGTGGACCGATATATCCCATTTTCAGTATATCTTAAATAGTGGAATGTGGTGAAAAATATCTGCCTATTATATCCAACTGTCGAACTGGACCCAAACAAATGGTATTGGGAAAATAAACCTCTGAAGACAGAAATGATATTCTTCTCTAGGAAACGTAGTTGAAGTGACTTGAAACATCGCTCTCGAGCTAAAAACCTCGGTACAATTCTCCTCCCCATACCATGTTATGGATGTCATGTATGGTGGCAGGCGATTGGTAATGGAACACTCTTGGTCAAAATAATCACTGTAAAACCATCAGCATCGCTCCTTATATTTGTATCGCTCAGAAGTACACCTCTACTTAATCCATCGACCCCTTATTAATGCAAAAATTTCCTCTATCCTTAAAACGGCATACACATTAGAACTTTTTTCCGGGTTAACCTACTTTATGAGGATTTATTTGACATATATTAAAATATATTGTTTTTTAATTCACTGCCTAAGATATGGTCCTCAAAATGTTCACGTACGTCAAATTTTCTGATTGTTTTTTTTTTTTCATTTTATACAATTTAAACATTTGGAAATTTAATATAAAATATATTCCCATTATATTCTGTTCAAGCAATATACGATTACAACACATTTCCTACGTTACGTCTTCAGTAACAGCTACTTTCTCAATTTATCATGACATTTAACAGTCCAACACCCGTTACGTTACGTATTCACTAATTCATAGTACAGAACAGCACACAGCTGTCCACCAATCAGCTGTTTTAATAAGAATTTTTCTATTGCCAGTGTTACAGTTGAGTTGTGTGCGAAAAAAACCAAATTTTTCTATGAAAAATGTTATTAAATCGGCAAACAATTAAATTAAATAATACCCTACAATGGCTACCAATAATTGTAAAAAGAAATTTAACCGTAATGGGTATTGAAACATCTTGTGATGATACCGGTATTGCTATAATTCGCCGAGAACATGAAAACAATACTGTGTTGGCTAATGTTATGAATTCTCAGCAAAGTTTTCACATAAGGTAACACAGAGATTTGAGTTTTTAAATTTACCGTTAATATTTGAAATAATTTTAAAAGAAAAAATTTCCGTTATTAAATACTTTATCCTCGTTTATCTAGATATGGCGGCATTATTCCACCACGTGCCCAAGATTTACATAGATCGAAAATAGCTGATGTTTATGAACGTTGTTTGGAAGAGGCAAAAGTTAAACCGGAAGAAATTGATGCCATTGCTGTGACCACAAGACCAGGTAAAAATGATCCGCAAAATTCATGGAAAAATGAATGGGTAGAGAAAAGGATCTTTCCAAGGAGTCGTCGAACTATAGGAGACCAATTGACATCGAAGGAGCCTTCAACAATGTGAAGCTGGAGGCTATCCATTCTGCTCTCGATACTTTAGGCATCCCCTCCCTCCTAACCGATTCGATTGTTAGAATGCTGGAAAGTACAATTATCAATTTGTCCATTGTAGAGAGTGCCATGAGGAAATCTGACAACATAGGCACACCACAAGGGTCAACATAAAACGGAATGAGATAGTCGATGAGCTTGCTCGAGGGGGTTCATAGTCGTCGATTGTGGGATCTGTACAATCTCGAATTGGCTACTTTATTGACAAAATCAGTTTGAGCTACTGCGAGGTAGTCGGCAACAGATGGTCAACTGAACCTGGATGCAGTATTTTAAAAACTATCTGGCCAGAATAGTAAGAGGGAGATTATAGAAGACATCTTCAAGGGTCTTCCATCTATAGAATACCTCTTCCAGGGGCCGCCTATCTATAGACTACCTTTCAATGGGTCTTCTATGTATAGAAGATATCTTCAAATGGTCTTCTAGCTGTAGAAGACCTCTTCAGAGGACCTTCTCTCTAAAGAAGGCCTCTTTAAGGGACCTTCTATGTATTCAAGACATTTCAAGGGGTGGCCTATCTATGGAAGACCTCTTCAAGGGATGGCCTATCTATAGAAGACCTCTTCAAGGGATGACCTATCTTTAGAATACCTCTTCAAAAGGTCTTCATAATTTATAATAGGGTTTTCTATCTATCAAGGGGGTTTCTATCTTTACAAGGCTTCTTCAAGGAGTCTTCAAGCTATAGAAAACCTCTTTCAGGATCTTCTATCTAGAGAAGACCCCTTCTAGGGGTCTTCCATCTAGAGAATACCACTTCTAGGGTTCTTCTATCTACAGAAGACGTCTTTCAGGGCCTTCTACCTAGAGAAAGCCTCTTCAAGAGGGTTCCTATCTATTGAATACCTCTTCAAGCCGTCTTCTATATATAGAAGACCTGTTCAAGGTTCTTCTACCTATAGTAGACATTTTCAAGGTGTCTTCAAGCTATGGATGACATCTTCAAATAGAATTATGTCTATAAAAGACCTCATAAAGTGCTCTTCTATCTATGGAAGACCTCCTCAAGCGGTGTCCTATCTATAGAAGGCCTCTTCATGGTGTCTTCAAGCTATAGAAGACCTCTTCAAGGTATAGAAGATCTTTTCAAGTGGTCTTCTATTTATAGAGCACCTTCAATGGGCCTCCTATCTATAGAAGACCTCTTCAAGATTTTTTTTTTGTCTAGGGAAGACCTCTTTAATAGATTTTCTTTCCTTAGTAGACCTCTTTAAAAGGTCTTCTATCCTTAGTAGACCTCTTTAATAGGTCTTCTATAATTAGAGGACCTCTTCAATAGGTCTTCTATAGTTAGAAGATCTCTTTAATAGATCTTCTATTATTAGAAGTCATGTTATAGAAGACCCATTCAAGGGGTATTATATTTATAGGAGACCCATTTGAAGGCTCTTTTATTTATTGGATGCCTCTTTAAATAACCTTCACTTTATAAAAGACCTGTGAAGAGTAGTTATTTTATTTTGAGTACCTTTCAGATCTATTCTATTTATAGGAGACCCCTTCAATGATATTTTACCTATAGAAGACCCCTTTGAAGGTCTTATACCTATAGAAGACCGCTTTAATGGGTCTTCTATAATAAAAATACCTCTTTGAGCCGCCTTATATTTATAAAAGACATCTTCATTGAGATTTTTTCTCTCTATAGAGGTCCTTCTCAGACTGTACCAAAAATTTTTATAGATTGTTTTCCGAATTTTATCAACTCTCCTGTTTTTTTTTTTCAGGTTTACCTCTAAGTCTTATGGTGGGTTTGCGTTTTGCCCGCTATATAGCCCGAACGTATAACAAACCTCTGGTACCGGTACATCATATGAAAGCACATGCCCTGCAGGCACGCATGGAACACCCCATACCTTATCCGTTTTTATGTCTACTCATCAGTGGTGGTCATTCACAATTGTGTTTTATTAAGGGGCCAGAAGAGTTTCTACTGCTGGGCGAAACACTCGATGATGCACCCGGCGAGGCATTTGATAAAATTGCCCGACGTTTGAGGTTGTATATTAATCCCGCGTATCGTAATTGGAATGGTGGACAAATTGTGGAGCATGCCGCTAAATTGGCAGAAAATCCTCGGGCATTTGAATTTCCTTTACCCTTGGCACGAATGCGGGATTGTAATTTTAGTTTTGCTGGCATTAAAAATAATTCATTTCGGGCCATTAAACGGCAGGAGAGGATTGAGGGTAAGTGGGGTATTGATTTTTTAAGGATAATTGGAAAATTTACTTGGTGTATGTACTTTTGTAGGCTGTACCCCCGACTCGGTGATAAGCAATTATGCTGACTTTTGTGCGGGTTTGTTAAATGCCATATCCCGCCATCTAATGAATCGTACCCAAAGGGCTTTGGAATTTTGCCTAGAACGTAAATTGTTTGCAACGGATTCGCCGCGATCGTTGGTGGTTTCCGGAGGTGTGGCCAACAATGATACCATTTTTCAGGATATTAGCCATTTAGCTGAACAATACGATTGCAAAACATATCGACCATCGAAAAAATATTGTTCCGATAATGGTGTAATGATAGCCTGGAATGCCATAGAACAAATAATGCATGACAAAGAGCGGTGTTTAAGATATGATTATTATAATGTGGATATACAAGGCAAGGCGGGATTGGGTACTTCGTTGCTGCAAGAAGTTGTGGCCGCGGATATTAAATGTAAATGGATAAAGGCGCCATTGCGGAAAGGGGAGGAAGAAAGATAATTGGATTTTTTTAGAATTTGTTTTTATTTTTTCTTTTTGTTTTCATTTATGAGGACAGACATTAAAAACATGTTGTTTATTGTTATACCACAAACATGAATGGAACAGTGTAGATTTCCGTTTTTTCTCGATTTTTGTTATTTTTATAAAATATAATAATAAATATTATTTAATAATAATATAATAATGATAATAATAATATTGGAACTATGCTGCAAAAGGAATTTTGCATTACTAATAAAACATAAAATGGGATGTCTCTAGACTTAACAACTAATAGAAAACTCCGCCCGCCGCTCCGGTTCCCTCCCCTCAACGTTCATAATACACCCGATAGTATAAAGTTTTTGAACGCCATATACTATAGCTGTTATCAAATTTCAACAAATAAACACCCTCTCCCGGATAGCTATGGGAGCCCACATAGACCTCATTAAAACATTCACGACGATAAATGGGTACAATTATGGATATGGGTGGTTTTATCGAACTACTTGTATTGGCCAAATTACTGCGTTCATTTGCCACTGAACCATATTCCAAATCCTCATTGGTGGAGAGATAATCTTCATCGAGAAATTCATCATCATCATCACTGTCGCTGACATGCACCGTAACCTCTTGGCTTACCGGTTTACTCCATTCGAAATAGATGCCAAAGCCAATGTCATAATTATCTGTGGCAAATTCCCAAAATATTGATTTGCCATTGAGGTTGGTTGGAACGCGTACCTATAGAAAAACAAAATTTAAATAAAAATTCTCCATTAACAAAAAATCGGATAAAAATAAATATGGGGGATATATCTAAATCTGAACCGATTTTCACGAAACTTTACACACATTATTCTAGACCTAATTCAGTACTATATACCAAATTTCGTGCATATCAAATGAAATTTCGGACGAAAATATATATGAGAGCTATATCGAAATCCGAATCGATTTTCATGAAACTTAACGCACATCATTCTACACCTAATTCAGTACGCTTTGTCAAATTTCGTGCAAATCGAAAGAAATTTTGGGGCATTGGTGCTCCATTAACATAAAATCGGACGAAAATATATATGGAAGTTATATCGAAATCCGAACCGATTTTCACGAAACTTTACACACATCATTCTAGACCTAATTCAGTACGATATGCCAAATTTTGTGCAAATCGAAACCGAAAATATATAGAGGGCTTTGGGCCCCACTTACATAAATCGCAAATGGAAAGAAATTTCGAAAAAATATATATGGGAGATATATCTAGATCTGAACGGATTTTCACGAAGCTTAGCACACATCATTCTAGACCTAATTCAGTACGCTGTGCCAAATTTTGTGCAAATCGAAAGATATATAGGGGTTTTGGTGCTCCATTAACATAAAATCGGACGAAAATATGAGAGCTACATCTAAATCTGAATTGATTTTTCCGAAACTTAACACACATCATACATTTCAATATGGTGTGCCAAATTTCGTGCAAATCGAAACCTATATAGGGGCTTTGGTGCTCCACTTACATAAAATCGAACGAAAATATATATGGGAGCTATATCTAAATCTGAACGGATTTTAACGAAGCTTAGCACACATCATTCGAGACCAAATTCAGTACGTTGTGCCAAATTTCGTGCAAAATGAAAGATATATAGGGGCTTTGGTGCCCCATTAATAACAGAAAATCGTACGAAAAAGTATATGGGAGCTATATCGAAATCTGAACCGATTTTCTCCAATTTCAATAGGATTTGTCCTTCAGTGAAATAAGTGATCTGTGCCAAATTTCATTTTATTCGGATCAAAAATCCAATATGCACTTTGTTTACAATTAAACCTGCACAGACGGACATTCATAAATCGACTCAGAAAGTGATATAAACAATAAAAGCCAAAAGATTGCGACTTACAGTAACCGTATCACCATGACCAATTGTGATAACACCATCCCCATCTCCAGCCGAGACTTCAGCCTTAAATTCTTCAATATCTGGTCGGGTCCATATTTTAGCCGGTTGTATCAAGACATAATCATCATCATCGCTGTTGTGATTTTGCAACTGTTGTAAATTTTCATCGTGCAGTTGATGCTGCTGCTGTTGCTGAGTATCATCGATTGACAATTTGGCTAAATCTTTATTTAAGGCATCATCGGATGTGTGTACCAAACCACCACCATTGCCAATATCATGTGGAACTGTTGTCATGGAACTGTTGTTATTATTGTGGGTTGTTGTCATTGTTGCAGTCATCGTTTCCCCAGCCACATTGTGATTTTGCATATGTAGCTGTTGCATATACTGATGATAGTGTTCCTGTTGCAGTTGATGTATTAGTACCGCCTGTTGTTCGGGATTACCGGGAAATTGTTTTTCAGCATAGGTCTGAAAAAGGCAAAGGAAAAAAAATTATTTAAAATTTTTTCTAATGGAAATCCTAATAAAAAAGTATTTTTAAAAAATCCACGCCTTGGGCTAGACATTGAAAAAATTTTTTAAAAAAATCTAAAAAAAAATTCAAAAATTTTTTCAGGTCATTTAAAAATCCACACCATGGGCTAAGGCATTGAAAAAATATTTTCAAATAAACGCCTTGGGCTAGGCATTGAATTTTTTTTAATCCATCCTAAAAATTTCAACATTTTCGTCAGGTCTTTGGCACGCGGCAATAAGTAGAGGTATCGGTCTACATTCTTTAATGTTAGAGAAAAATTATTGGATAATGGCCTACTCCGGCTTAAGGTAATATCCATTATGTGGCGATATTTTCGACTTCCCACTGAAATGGTTATTATGCAAATTTTTTATTTATTTTCTCGTCTTTTTTCGTTCAACTTCCAACTTATCAGGCAATTGTATTTAAAATTGTGTGACCTCGATTTGATATCGACTTCCTTTCAATGTTATCACTGTCTTGTTAAAGGGGTTTCCATCCAAATGTGTGTGTAGAAAGAAGCGTGCCCGACCGCAGAATACATTTGTGTAAAAAAGTACTCGTACATTTTCGAGAAGGCAAAAAAATATAAAGCCTTTTCTTTTTCCCAAAAAGTACGATTTTCCCAATGAGAAATTGTACTAAAAATTACCCATTCCCATATGTATGTAGATGAATGAAGACCGAATACAATTGTGTCAAAAAGTAATCGTGCATTTCCTTTTTTCCAAAAGTACAATTTTCCCCAATGAGAAATTGTACTAAAAATTATTCACTACCATAACAGGTGTTCTAAAAAGTGCATACTTCATTAAGTGTACTAAAAAGTACACCTTTATGTATTAAAGTATACAAAAAATATACTTTGTATAATAGGGTGTACTGAAAAGGATTAGGTTGTACTAAAAAAATATTAAAATAGACGGTTTGTTTTATAAAGAGTACTAAACTTACTAATTGTACTAAAAATTACCTATTTACATTAAGAATGAGTACTAAATAGGTACCCATTTAGGTATGGAAGTATATAAAAAATACATTTTGTATAATAGGATGTTCTAAAATGTAGGATTTTTGCAGTACAGTGGATTGAAACTAAGTACTAAAATTGCTAATTGTACTAAAAATTACCCACGTGCATTTCTCATTGAGAAAGGGTACTTTTTATCTATTGAAGTGTACAAAAAAGTACGCTATGTATAATAGGGTGTACTAAAAATAGGATTTGTGTAGTACAACGTATTAAAATGGGCTCTGCATTTTAATGCACTAAACTTCATAATTGTACTAAAAATTAATGTAGTTAGGCCTTTTAGAAAGTACGTTTTGTTTAATACGTTGTTGTATAGTGTACTAAAAATAATATTTGAGTAAAAAAGTGTACGTTTTACAAAAAAAAGGTAAACATTTTCCTAACAAATTGTACTAAAAATGTTTAAAGCAGCGTATTTCTTAATCAGAAAGAGTACTAAAAAGGTATCCTATAGGTATTGAAGTATAAAAAAATTTCACATTGTAATAATTCATTGTAATAAAAATTTCACATTGTAATATGGAGTACTAAAGAGTTGGCCTTGTGTAATATTGTGTACAAAAAAGTACGTATTGTGTAATACAACAGTGTACTAAAATGAGATTTATATAGCAAAATGTACTAAAAAGGTATATTTTGTATAATTAATATTACATAAAAAAGAGCGGTTTGTACTAAAAAAGAATATAAATTGTATTATGTATAGTACTAAAAAGTAAGAATTGTAAAAAAAAGTGAACTACGATAGGGGAAGTCGACCCATCTGTCGGCAGGGGTGCGAAAATGTGGCTTAGGAACGTTCTGACAATAACTACCCTTTTGTATAATTAAGTATGTAACCCACCCCCTTCCGTATAATAAGTTGTACTAAAATACACTTTAAACTTTAAGAGTATTCTAAGATATAAGATTTATGTAACAAAATGTACTAAAAAGTGCAGACTGTATAATAAACTTTACCAAAAAAGTACAACTGATATTACAAAGTTTACTAAAAAGTCAAAATTTTATAAAACATTGTACCAAACAATACGATTTTAAAGAAGGAAAGTCGCCCCATCTGTCGGCAGCGTTGGAACGTTGGGATAAAAATGTACCCTTTGTATAATAAAGTATATTACCATCGGTATAAAATTTATATTATAAAATGTTCTAAAAATGAGATTTAGGTAACAAAATGTACCAAAAAAGTTAGAGTTTCTATAATAAAATATACAAAAAAGTACTGCGTATAACATAAAATATGCCTTTTCATAGCCCAAGTTACTCTTTGTATTATAAAGTGTACTAAAATACCATTTGATGTGTACTAAAACACATTTTGAATTGTACTAAAAATGTCGTTCACAAAAAAATACTAAAAAATACGATTTCTGCAATATACTGTACGAAATAAAATGTACTAAAATTAATTTTAATAGAATAGGCTACACCAAACGTATAAGGCATACTAAAATGTACTCTCTGAGTTAAAAATAATCCTATGAGGCACGTTTTGCATTATGAAGTTCAAAAATGCACACCCTTGCACAATGAAATATACTAAAAAGTACTTTTTTACAAAGGTACCATTGTAGTATATGTAGTATATCCCCAAATGCAATTTCCCCGCCTCTAACATTTATCCTTAAATACTTGCCCTTAAGTCCTGTCTAATTTCTCAAAACACCCTCATATCTCGATCTCCTATATGGAATTTAAATGTACCTATACATACTTTTACTAACTACTGTATTTAACAAAAATCAAAACCCCTAACACAATACAACCACAACAAACCACACTTGTCTACAATACCAAAAAAACCGGGTTACCTATAAATAATTAATGTCAAATGTCCTTTGGTGTGTCAACTTTAATTGACCCAATTCAAGGTAAAAAAAAACACACACACAAACACACTCAAAATCTAAGGTAAACAAATCATAATTAAACACATATGTACATACATACAATTAAGATTCACCTATCCCACTCTATCCCCCTGTTTATTTTATTTATTTTTTTTTCAATAACTGGATGGACACGTATACTCATTGCACATACACACACATACACCCTATCGCCACCATACATACCTTAAACTGTTGATATGTTTGTTTATTCAGTGCATCCTGCAGTTGTCTACGTTGCATTTCCTCCTTATAACCCTCTTCCAGTAATTCTTGCTGCTCCCGTTCTTTACGTTCCTTTTCTTGTTTCTCCTTTTCCATACGTTTCAATTCTTCTTTCAACGTTTCATCACGATTTTTTCGTACCGCTTCCACATATGGCCGGAATGCACTACACATTGTATCCAGCAAATCAATAAAACCTTCCATGGCCTGTTCACGGCTAATATCACCCAACATTTGCCAATGCATACGACGATCTTTGCCAATGACATCGAGTACACCCAATTCGGGTGCTGTCTTGGGATCGAAGGGACCACATTGTTGTTGTTGTTTAAATGCAATCAACTTTAGATTATCCTCATAGGAGAGATGCAAAGCCTTTCCAGAGTTTTCTATATGTGTGTATAGAGTTGATTGTTGGTTGGTGTTGTTGTGGCAGGTGGTGTGAGGGGGGCACAGTTGGCAAAAAGAAATGAAAACAAAACATAAACGAAGAACAGACAGTCAGCATAAAAGTTGAGATAAAACCAAAAGTATGTGTTGTTTTACTTACGTTTGTAAAATTGCAAAGCCATTCGATATAGCTCCACCAATGGGAAACCCCATTTTTCCAATTCATCTACATTTTTATCCATATTTTATGTGTTTTATTTAAATTCGTTTAGAACAGTCGCTGTTTTCCTTGTTGGCCTGCTTTTTTTCCTTAGTTGATACAATTAACGATCTTGTGAGCTCTGGAGGCTAAGCTTTAGGGATTTGTAGACCGTATATTATGTGGCTTTAAAAATATTAGGGCGTAATTACACAGAATGTTTTTTATGGTAAATTATCATTTAATTGTCCTGGAATACGGCGTTTACATTTTACCGGATTTCGTTAACCTAGTGGGTTTAAATTATCAATTTCATTGTATATACGTCAAATAAATCTTCATAGAGTAGGTTAACCCGGTAAAAAGTTCTAATGTAAACGCCGTATTAGTTTTCATTTGGCGAAGGAAAAAACAAACAAATATATTGCAAAAATAATAAATTATATTTATTGCAATTGAAATTAACGTTTGAGATCGAATGGGTTTAGTAGTCTAAACGCGCTCTTAATCTATGAAACCCACTCGATCTCAAATGTCAATTTCAAGGTCTATTAATAAAGTCACACAGGAATATCAGCAGCTAAACAGCTGTTAAGCTTAAAACTTCATATACATTAGAACATTTTTTTCCTGGTTAACATACTTTATGAGGATTTATTTGACATATATACAATGGAATTGACAATTGAAGCCCACTGGGTTAACGAAATCCGGGACATTGTAAATATACTATAAGTAAGTTGTATAAACAGATTTAGAAAGTAAGTAATTGTTTTAAATATATATTCTCTGCAACGTTTTTTGTTGTAATCGATGGCGGATACGTATACCCCTTGTAAAATAATACAAATTAGGATAACTTGAGGCGAATGAAAAAAAAAAACAACCCTGTAGGATGTGGCTTCTTCTGTCAAATATAAAATTAAATTAACTGTTGCCATATTTCAGAAGAGAATACCGCGAAATGTTTGTTTCATCGTTAACAAAGTAATTACTTTATTTTTATAATACACACACATACACAAAATATGTACTTTATAGTACGTTTACATTTAACCGGATTTCGTTAACCCAGTGGGTTTCAATTGTCAATTCCTTTGCATATATGTCAAATAAATTCTCATAAAGTAGGTTAACCCGGTAAAAAGTTCTAATGTATATGCTGTTTTAATCTGAATTGTGACTTAAGAAATAGCAGCTGTTTCTATTTTCTACTGTTTTCTGTTGACCTGTTTAATGGGCCCTGGTACAATTCTTCTACATTCTTCTATCCCTGGTAAAATTCTTCTACAGCTGTTTTTTCTCAAGTCTAATGTCAAACAAATTAGACTTTGTTTACGTCTTCATAATGGAAGTCAATTCACAATGATGGAATTTGACAGCAAAATTGAGAAACAGCTGGTCTCCCTGATCGACCTTATTTATAGGCCTCTGACTTGAGAAAAAACAGCTGACTTTCGCTTGCTGGATGTCATGGCCTATAAATAAGGTCACCAAGGGAGACCAGCTGATTATCGATACCTCTCAAGTTTGCTGTCAAAATGCATTATTATGAATTGACTTCCATTATGAAAACGTAAACAAAGTAGAAATTTTTGACATTAGACTTGAGAAAAAACAGCTGTTTTCCGATTTCTATTGATATTTTCTTCCGATAATAATAGATCTTGCTGGATGTCCTTATTAATAGATTTGCACAGGCGGTGATACATTCCTAGTAATGGCATGGTTTCTGAATTTTTTAGTTATAGGTTTGAAAAAAAAAACATTTCCATGAGATTTTTCAAATAGCTTGCCCTTTACAAACACAAACTCGAACAATTTTAACTTTGATTAAATATTTATTAATAATTATGCATATAATTATATAGGTTTTGAATAACATTTTATTATTATTAGATTATGGTAACACAAAACATCTAGTTTTGGGTTAACACAAGAATGTATTTCATATTTATTTTGGGGGGAGGTGATTATATTATTATGTATTTTTTTGCTTTCAGAACAAATACTCCCGTGGGCTAAATAATTTTTTTATTGCATCATTTCGGTTCAGCCATTTGCGACCATTTGAACAGCAAGAAGGAATGTTAACTTCTCTATTAAAATTTCAACTTAAAATAAAAGTATAATTTCGAATTAATTTTTGTTTGTTTAAATAGAAAATAATACGTTTTGTATTTGAAATCATTTTATGAAGAGGACAAAAAGAAAAAAAAAAACAAAATACTTTTTTTTAAAGCTTGGATTTGTGCTTGAGGGAAAGTGTAAAGGGGGTTTTGCTTACAAACTTATTAACCAAAATCGTTTTGGAGTTCATGTTATTATTCGCTATAAATTACTTCTTTTTTTGTTCTTAATAAATTTAAGGGGAACGTATGATAGCTTCATAGGCAGCAAATATCATTGGTGCCACTTCCACGGAACGTGATTTTAAGCTCAATGTGGCATCAGGATTACCGGGTTGTAATTTCAGTTCGAGCAATACCCAAATATTGTTGGTCAGCTTCAATGACTGATAGAGCATATCTTGACCCTCAACGTTACGCTTGGCAATGGTGAAAACATTATTGGTGGTCATTTTCGAGGCAATGCCGTCGGTGGTGCCAATAACACCACTCAATGAATATTGAACTTCATTGGCGGCGGGTATTTCTTTCCAGGTGTTGAGGAACACACGCTTGTCCAGCTGACCATCTTCGGCGAATAGGACATTGCCATGAATCAAACAGGCAAAATAGAAAATGTCGATATTGTTTTTAACAGCCACCTGTAAATTGTTCAGGGGTTCCATGCGCTGTACTGGACCTTGGGTACCCAAATTTAGGGTTACTTCGGTCGATTGATTGGGAGGTAAGGGGGCAACTTGTAGAGGCTGGGCGGGTACCAAACCAAAACTGTTCTTGTTCAATTGTATGGCAAAACCGCTCATGGGTTGCATGGCTTTGTTGGTGAATTTCATGTCCATGAAAATTTCACCATTGCGTCGAGAGAATGAACCTTGGATTTCCAAACCTTTGCCCTTTTCCGCTGGTAACCAAACAATTTTGGGAATTTGTACACCCACATTTAAGGCGGCGCCACCAAGGCCAAATATGTCACCCAAAAGGCTGCTGGCACCGGCCGATGCGGTTTCAGCAGGGGGACCACCGAGCTGCAAGACAAAACAAAAAAATGAAATTGAAATAAATGGCTTTGGTTTCAAATTTTCCACTGAAAAAAACTTACCAAAATATCCAAACCACCACCCAATAAATCAACACCCATGCCTGTGGGTGCAGCTGCTGGCATAGATGGTGCATTTATGTCCATGGAGAGTAAATCACCAATAAGCGATTCTTGATTGGGTATAACCATGGCCTCTCCACCAGCTCCTGCTGCACCGGCATCACCACCTTCACCACTAGCTGCAGCCCTGTTGGGTAATGATTTACGTACACCAGCCCCACGACCTTCAACAAAGGCTGTGGGTGGTTTGTGATAAACACTAGCCAAGGAGCTAATGTGACAGATGAGTTCATCCAACAATGTGGGTTCCAACAAATCAGTTTCTTCCGAAATCAATGGCTTATCGGCCAATACCACTTCCTTGGCGGCAGCGGGATCAGTTGACAATAGACGCCAGTAAATAAAACCACGATCACGTAAATCAGGATTATCCGAATCTTGGGTGGCCAATGACAAAACATGTTGCACGAGCTCTTGTGTATCTGAAGGACGTTTCAAGAACAGCTTCACCACAGCGGTAAGTAATTGCAGCTGAACTTGAGCATTTTCATCTTGGAAACCTTCCAAGAAACTATCCAACAATTCATCGGCATTGTCAATACGTTCGGCATATTCACCAATAATCCAAACCATGGATGCTCTGGCTTCGGGTTCATCCAAAGTGTCCAAGTTTTCACACAATGTGCTGATGATGCTTTCATACTTGTTGGGATATTTACGGAAAATGTCCTTGATGACAACAATGGCCTCTTGGACCACATAGTTGACTTTGGTTTGGATGAGTTCCAGCAGAGTGGAGACACAACGTTCGGCAGAGGCCTCAACCTGGGAGAGAAATAGGAAAATGATAATAAAAAAATAAAATCTTAAGAGTTTTAAATCCTACCTTAATGGCACAACGTCCAATGGCCCGTACCGCCTTCCTTACAAAATCCACATCAACTTCGGTGGCATATTCCTTAAGTTCACTCAGTACTTGAGCAATATTACTTTGATTGGCCAAACGAATCATAATATCCAGCTTCTCCAATTTCACATAAATCGGATCGTTGTATTTCACAAAGAACACTTTCATTTCATGTTTCAAAATATCGGGACGTTTTTGTACAATTAAATTGATGTTACGCAAGGCTACGTATTGTACCTCTGGCTCCGATGAGAGCAGAGTAACCAATGGTGGTGCCAATTTCTTGGTCAAGGTGGCACAAAAATCTCCATCATTTGAAAGCATTTCCAAGAGTTTCATTAAAACTTTAACGGCACTCAAGACCACAGCAGCATTGGCATGGGCCAAACGTGGTGTAATACGTTCACATATGGATTGGGCTTCACGTTCATCCTTGGGACTGTAGTTGGCCAAGGAATCCAAAATAAACACCTGACCCCATTCGGTACATTCATTGAGAGCGGTAAGCAATTTATTGATGGTGGCCGAATTCATTTCCACCAACGGCTGTCCCGATTGACTGGATTCGTTAATTTCACTCAAGGCAGCCACGGCGTTTGCCACAACCATGGGATTCGAATCGGATAACAGATCTTTCAATTGATCCAAAAATCCTTGATCCTCCACCATTGAGGCGGAAATGTCATACAGCTTGGCAACACACACAGCGGCTGTTTTGCGTACATAGGGATCTTCATCTTTCAAACATTTACGCAATGGTTCACACAGATATTCGGTAATTTTATCAACACGAATACAACCCATTGTGCGTACAGCCAATGCACGTATCAATGGATTCGAATCTTCACAATCCTTAACGAAGGTGTTGACAGCCATAATGGCAGCATCCGGTTGAGATTTAGCATAATTCATCAGATACAAGTAGACCAATTTTTTCAGTTCTAAATTATCGGTTTGCATACAATTTACAACATCGGGGAAGAGGACAGAGACATCTTTGCCAACGGTCATACTGGCAATGACCTAGATTGGAATGAAAAAGCAATATTAGAATTATTCGTAATATATAAATATTAGAACTTACCTTCTTGACAGCTTCTTTTTTCTTTTCCTTTTTGTCATTATTCAATTCAGATTTTAATTCGAAAATTTCACCCTTTTTGGTGGTGGAAAAATATTTGGAGTCGGTCATCTTTATGCTGGTGTATTACTAATGGGGAAACAGAAGAAATAATTAGTAAAAAAATATTAATACATAAGGAAATAGAAATCGAGACGAGGAGCAACTAATTTTGTAAAATGCACCCACTTCAATGTAGAAATGGGAACCTATATAAAACAATTAACCGATATTTGATTTTGAAAAATGTCCTTTCCATAGCTATCTAGAACAATTTTGTCAGCTTCCAAAAAATCCTTGTGTATATCCCTATTTAAATGTCCTCTGCAGTAAATTCAATATACTTTCAGAGGTATAGGCACAGAAATTTCTAATTTTTATGACAAAACGAAAAAAAAGGTTTCATATACCCCAATAATACACACACATACACAGCAATACCCCGCAAGCCATTATATATTCACACCAATCAATTTTCTCCAAGCCCAGCAAAAATATTTTTATTCCTTATCATCCAAAGACCAACGAAATCTTTTCATCGGGGGGGTTATTGAACGTCGTTTGATATATATTCAAACAAATTGTGTTAATTAAAAAGCGAAATACCAATGCATTTCCCATAGACTTCCATGGAAAAAGTAGTTTGCGGGGCGTATACATGTCTCATCTTGTTCGGCTGATGGGTTCTTATCACAAAAAATTACAAATTCATTTTTACCAATTAGTTCGTCATTTTCCACTGTAATTTTTATATTTTCCAATTCCTTATCCCTTATATTATATTTTTCTTTTATTTTTAGTAGAAATTACCTTAATATTAGTACGAATTTTATGAATTGAATTTGTTTAGATGACGAATAAAGATTTTTTCACGTCAATTTAGTTGTAGGTATCACTAGATCGACTTTTGTTCTTCATTCAATACAGTTCAGTGGTGCTATTCACTATGAAATGATAACGCGTTGTGCTATACGCTGTGAATTGACACCACAGCTCTGTGAAATCTCATGCTCAACCGTTATGCGGTGTACACACTAGCATTTTTGAATGGCACTCTTGCCCAAATTTTGCTTGCTTGACAGTGTGGCCTCACATGTTTGTCATTCATCAGGCAACCACAAAAATATTTATGGTTGTTGGACAGTCAGTAATCGATAAAAGAGTTGACAGTCAAAAATGATAGTGTGTACACCGCTTTATGCTGTGCACTTTGTTCATTTGAATTGATTTCGTTGGTTTTTTAAATGTAAAAACCCGATTTCAGGTGTAAATTGACATTGTCATTATATATCTTTCTAGTAACAGCACACTTACACATTAAAACGGTATTTACATTAGAACATTAACTGGGTTAACATATTCAATGAATATTTATTTGACATGTATAGAATGAAATTTACAATTGAAACCCACTGGGTTTATTAAATCCGGATAAATGTAAACGTACTATAACTTATGATGCCATAATATGCATTATCTTCAATTATTTATAAAATTATGATATCTTTATCATGCCAAATGACATCTAAAAATGTTGGTTCCAACAAATCATTTTTTTCCGAAATTAATTATTTATTAGCCAATAACACTTTCTTGGTGATGGCGAGATAAGTTGGCAATAGAAGCCAGTAAATAAAACCACGATCACGTAAATCGGGATTATTCGAATCTTGGGTGGCCAATGACAAAACATGTTGCAGCTGTTGGGTATCTGAAGGACATAAATGAAAAGGTTATGATTTCTTTTCAAAATCGAATAGGAAATACCATGCATTTTTTTATCCATAAAAAAGCAACTACTTCCTGGCGAATGGGATAAAAAGTCATTTTCATTTCAAGGTTATTATTTCTTCTCAAAATTGAATAGGAAATACCATGATGCAATAATAAGGTGATGTATCACAACAAAAATCTTTGTATTTGTCTCGACCATCTGTCAAATTTTTCCTTATAATATTTTACATGGTTGGAAGCATTGCATATAGAATTCAAGTATAAATTACACACTTTGACAGTTAATCAAGACATCAGCTGCTGTAAATGGACTACCTATTCTTTGTGCCATGGGAAATACCATGCATTTTTTTCATCCTGACGAATGGGTAAAAAGTCATTTTCATTTTAATTAAATTCGAATTTATTTCAATATAATAGTACGTTTACATTTAACCGAATTTCATTAACCCAGTGGGTTTCAATTGTCAATTCCTTTGCATATATGTCAAATAAATTCTCATAAAGTAGGTTAACCCGGTAAAAAGTTCTAATGTACATGCCGTTTAAATTGAATTTAGTTGACATGGTATTCAAAGCTATATCAAAAAATATATATTTTGATTTGATAGAACAAGCCATCTTGAGATTACAATAGGACGATTCAAGAAAAATTATACCACAGCGGTAAGTAATTGTAATTGAACTTTTGCATTTTCATCTTGGAAACTTTTCAAGAAATTGTACTCAATAATTTTTAGAAATTGTTGCTGGATGTTTTTGTTATACGCAACAGCTGTCTTACTGAGTATATGCAAATTCTTATAAGAAAAATTTACCCAGTAATGTATTTTCCATTAACATCAGGTGATATTTAATCAGCTGTTTGATTAGCAGATGCTAAAAATATAAAACTTGCGAGCAATAAATAATTTTTTGTAATTATAAATTCAATAAAAAATATTTAAACGCGCCTAAAGAGGTGATAACAATTTGGCACCAAATGTTGTGATTAAACACTTTGCGACTTTTTTTGTGGCCTCGATTAAAAACCTCAATTAGAGACTTTGCAAGGTTATCGTGAATGTAGAGCAGCCACATAGGGATTTGGTAAAGCACGATTTCATAAAAAGGTTAGTGTGATGAAGAGTGCTCGATTTTGGATTTTAAAACCAAAAAACCCTTTACTGGAAACATACATAAATTATTAATAATATGACATCACTACAGAGTTGTATTTTTTGTTCAAACTAAAGGTACGTTTAAATTTACGAAATCCACTCGATCTCAAATGTCAATTCCATTGCTTATACGTCAAATATAATACACTGGAATTGTCATTTGAGATCGAGTGGATTTATTAGTCTAAACATAGCCGAATTATACTATTTTAAAGGAACTAAAATGAAAGGAACTCAATTCTTGCTGTATCAAAATGGTTTATGCACAATATGTATAATTTCTTCCGAATATTTATTCATGGTATAATGCTGCCTCTCAAGTTTGCTGTCAAAATCCATTATTGTGAATTGACTTCTATTATAAAAACGTAAACAAAGTCTAAATTGTTGACATTTGACTTAAGAAAAAACAGCTGGTTTCGCTAGCTGGTCGACATTATTTATAGATTGTGGGTAGGCTATAGCAACTTACAAATTACAATTTTTCTAGCTGTGGCTTGTCATGTCAAAGCCATATACAAAATGTTTGAATGTATGTGTGATGTTTTCAAAAATATAAAAACATATGTCTTTTGCAAGATCCATAGGGAAAAAATTTAAATTTTGTTGGATGAATCGGTATCAACATTTTCTTTCCCCTTCGATATTTATTACAATATAAATCTTTATTACAATATAAAAAATATGCCAAATGATCAATGACTTGTTGCATTTGTATTTATTTATGCTGGCACACGGCACATCATGTGCTGACATCATGTGCTGACATAACAAGCCTCAAGACAGAGGTGTATTTTCTATTTGTTGACAATAGCTACCATACCTTGTTTTTACCACCTAAGATGTATTTACCCACTTTTCTCAAATAAAACACCACTGTTCGCATTTCTTTCATATTTTTAACAAACAAATGCTTTATTTCAATTAAATGTTTATAGTTTTTTTGGTTTTATTTTATTTTGTTTTATCTATTTTTCTTAATATCATGTTGAAGTAGTTCATTTTATTTTATAAAAACCAATAGGAAAAATACTTTTGTTTTTGTTGTTATTTATATATATGTGTGTGTATTTAATTTTAGTAAATTGATTCATAAATAACAATAAAAAATACATAAATAAATTTTTATATTTATCGAAAATACAATATTTAGTCAGAGTAGATATATATTTAGTTGGTTGTGTATTTATTACTGAACTCACCTTATACGTTTGTGGTTGTAATTGGTAAAATATCAGGCTACGTTTATATCTGTCAGTTTTTGGAATTATAATTTTGAAAAAAAATAGTATAAACATTGTTTTAATGATTTTTACATTGTTTACCAAAGTCACCCAAGAATCAATCGAGACCAGAAAACAGCTGTTTTTGCTCCGGTTAAATGTCAAAAATTTGCAGGTTATTTTCCAAGGTCTATTAATAAAGTCATCCAGGGAGACCCGCTGTATACCAGATGCCTCTCAAGTTTGCTGTCAAAATGCATTATTGTGAATTGACTTCCATTATGAAAACGTAAACAAAGTCCAAATTTTTGACATTAGACTTGGGAAAAAACAGCTGACTTTCGCTAGCAGGGTGACCTTATTAATAGATCGTGTTATTTTCGTTTTTATATTGTAAAGTCTATTCACAATAATGACAGGAAATTTCAGAAGCATATGATTTGCAGCTGATCTTCCTGGACCTTGATATTGACAGTCATAAACGTATCTGAATATTTTTTTTCATTCTGATTGGAATCTTTTATAAATGGTACTCTGTTTTTGTTGTTGCTTTTTAATTTCATAGGACATTTGCTGTGTATCTGTGTTTTTAGTTTTGATTAAGGTACATTTTTATTTTTAAATAATCAAATAATTCCATTTGAAATTCCATAAAATAAATCAGTCTTTTGAAAACAATTAAAATAACACGCTGAGTACTGCTGGTTTGCATTATTTTTATTACATTCTGTTTATTTTTTTTTTTGCTTGGTAGAGTATTTTGTCAAAAATAAAACTTTATAGTTTATTGCTGATATGAACGCACCGTGATTTACAACAAATATATTTATATACATGTGAATGAGATTTGCTTTATGGCAATACTGCATTTTTTTGACATATAAAAAGATGTAAACACAGCTTAAAAGTACGTTCAGATTTACGAAATCTCCACTCGATCTTAAATGTCAATTCCCTGGCGTATATGTCAAATATAATCCACTGGATTTGTGAATATGATTAAGGTGACAATACGCTATGGAATTGACATTTGAAACCGAGCGCTCTAAGATAAAAGTCTAAGATCTATTATAAGGTCACCTAGCTAGCGAAAGTCAGCTGTGCTTTCGCAAGTCTAATGTCCAAAAATTTGTTTACGTTTTCATAACGGAAGTCAATTCACAATAATTGATTTTGACATCAAACTTGAGAGGCAGCTGATATCCAGCTGGTCTCCCTAAATCAAGATCTATTAATAAGATCACCAAGGTAGCAATCGAAATCGGAAAACAGCTGTTTTTTCTCAAGTTTAATGTCAAAAATTTCGAGTTTGTTTACGTTTTCATAATGGGAGTCAATTCACTATAATGCATTTTGACAGAAAACTTGAGTGGCGCAAATATACAGCTGGTCTCCCTGGATGAACTTATTTATAGGCCATGCCCTAGATGAACTTAAAGATCGTTTACATTAAACCGGATTTGGTTAACCCAGTGGGCTTAAATTTTCAATTCCTTTGAATATATGCCAAATAAATCCTCATAAAGTAGGCTACCCGGTAAAAAGTTCTAATGTAAATGCCGTATTATTGTCAACAATCAAAGTTTAAAGGTATGTTCACACAGGTCGTGTTGAAACAATATGTAATTTTACCATTTTAATTTCCTTTCTATGACCGTGTTCAGATTACGAAACCCACTCGATATCAAATGTCAATTCCATAGCGTTTAGGTCCTTTAAATAATATTTATGAATCCAGTGAATTTTATTTGACGTCCATTGTATACTAATGTGTATGGAAACCATATTTAAGATCGTGTGAATTTTTTAAGGCTACGTTTACATTTAACCGGATTTCGTTAACCCAATAGGTTTCAATTGTCAATTTCTTTGCATATATGTCAAATAAATCCTCATAAAGTAGGTTAACCCGGTAAAAAGTTCTATGTATATAATTTGATATATTTCAAATAAATGATTTTTAATTGTGAATCATCGATTTAAAACATGTAAATTTATAGTACGTTTACTTTTAACCGGATTTCGTTAACCCAGTGGGTTTCAATTGTCATATATGTCAAATAAATCCTCATAAATTAGGTTAACCCGGTAAAAAGTTCTAATGTATATGCCGTTTTACTCTGCAAATTTAAGTCATGACTTTTAACGCGTGTCACATTTTAATAGTCATTAAATATAGCTGTATGGCGACACATCAAAGTAACATGATACGGTTCTAAATCATCATTTAATATAATATAAATATACTCATGTTGTTGGCGGTTCAGCAAATTTTCGTTTTCTTACACATTTCATTAAGCTATCATCCAAATATGATCAAATATATAGGAATTTCATTAAATGTCACTTTGACATTTTCTGCTAATGTCACATTGTTTTCTGTTTTTTAAATTTTCATTAGTGATGTATGTATAACTATTTCTTTGTTTATTGGTGGAAGATTGTTACAGGGCTGATTTTTTGTTGTTATTTAAACTGTTGTCGTTTTGTTTAATTACACAATAAAACTTTAAATATTACTGTATTTATTTAGTTCTTACTTCTTTCGGTTTATTTTTAAAATTTGTATCTAAAATATTGCAGTATTCTTTTTTCTTGATTTGTTGTCTGTAGATATGTTTATTTGTAGTATTAGTATTTATTTGCATAGTAGTTGGTAGTTTAGCAAATTTTTTGGGTGGGTGTCTGATAACTAAACAATTGTTATCAGCTGATCGTTCTATTGAGAATGTGTGAAGGAGGGGGTTTTATGAGCGTTTTTGTTTGTTTGTTTCTGTTTGGATTAAAAGAAACATTTAATGTGAGAAAAAATATTGTGTATTTACAAAAAAAGTTTATTTGTTACAAGGTGCATATCTAATTTTTGTGTTTTAATAAAATAAATTAAAAATAAAATTCTAACTATTCAAGTGTAAGGTGGTTAAAAATGTTTCTAAAAGGTCGTTTACATTAAACCGGATTTGGTTAACCCAGTGGGTTTAAGTTTTCAATTCCTTTGAATATATGCCAAATAAATCCTCATAAAGTAGGTTAACCCGGTAAAAAGTTCTAATGTAAATGCCGTATAATATTGTTTTGTGTAAACATGTCACATAATATGGTTCTTACACTGTTTGTCAAATGTCAATTAAATAAAATCCACTATGTAAGGATTTACTTAGCGTTTACATATGTATAGAAGTACATTTACATATATGATTTTAAACCGACTCGATTAAATAAAACCAGATATACACCCTACATGTACGTTTAGATTTACGAAAGCCATTCGATCCCAAATGTCACTTCCATTGCTCATACGTCAAATATAATCCACTGGATTTGTGAGCAGGATTAACGTGACGTATACGCAATGGAATTGACATTTGAGATCGAATGGATTTAGTAGTCTAAACGTAGCCTAACTGTTTACACATACCTTTAATCATGTCAATCAGCTGATATTTCCATGCATGAGTTCGTTTACTTTTCCACTAAAAATTATTCCCTAACATCA